TTCACTGATGACAGGGTCACCATCTCACCATCTACACAGACTTCTATTGTTTTGACTGAAATGTTCCACATGGTATTATCCAACAGACGGGTCACGAGGGCAGCCATCTGAGCAGGGACTTTCAGACTCCCAGGGTTCCCCAGGAATGGACATTTCCCTGGACACTTCAGGCAGGCGTTCATCAGCTGGCTCCCCTGGATGTGTAGGAGCTGGGGGCATACTCTGAGCTCCTCTTGTGTGACAGCTCATCAATCACGCTGTAAGACCCTAAGGGCATGAAGGCTCCAAAAACCTGGTCCTTAGATCAGTAGATCCACCGTGTTTAAGTGAACGCCAGTGACTTTCCAAATAATGGAAAGGGAGTGAAAGGGAGAAATATAGACGATAGGACAAAATGTAATCCAACCCTTAATTGACAGGTCAGGTCTCTTATCATGGATCTTAGAGTTCTCACTTGGATTCTGACATATGCTCGTCTCCAGACAGGTGTCCCCTCCGGCAGTTATGTTGCTTTGAGCTTTCTCTGCATACAAGGTCATTTCGAGCACTGGCTGTTTATGTTTCTGCAGCACTAAAATAAGTCAAAGTCATAACTACATGACTTTATAGGATGCATCTTATCCAATTTCAGGTGAGCTTAAAAGTGTTGTCCTTTGCAAATACTTGTGCAACATGAGCTGTAGATGTAGTTCTAGTGGCTCTTAACATGCCCTGAGGTATTTGTATATTAACCTCAGCAGAAACCACTTTGATGTGCTGCCGTTGTATTTTCCCCGCTTCCCTGAGTGCTGTAAAAGAAAGTCTTTGTGGAATGTCAGCCACTGTGCCTGTTTCAGTTGAAAGAGATTGAATTTAATATGCAACAGTTTTGCATATTGACAAGAAAGAACATACCGTATATGTCATGGTGCATTCGGATGCTGAGTGGCAATGACGGCAGGTTAAACAGGTCTTGATACATTATTTATTTTAACACAGACAGTAACAGACTATTGGACTTACAGTACGAGATTACTAGAGCCAATGAAATGAACTGTTGCAAACCCAGTTGAAGCAATACTGTAAGACTGTATGTGTTCTATTCTCTTTCCTTCCTGAAAAACATTGATGACCTACATATCTTGTTTTCATATTAACTGCATTTGAATTTATTTACGACATCGTTACTTTTTCCTTTCACAAAATGAAAGAGAATGAGATTTCTGTTAAGTGCATACATTTGGCTCTGATGCTTTTGATGCTGCAGTTTGTACAACGTTTACCAGTGTGTGCTGCCTCCTCCTCCACCTCCACTGAGCCAGAAACAGCCTTCTTTAGCCCAAAAACTCTGATGTGCAGGTGTGGATCCCCGCAGTGAGAGAATATCCCCACAGCTTGGACTTGTGCATCAGTGTTTAGGAGCATGAGCCGCAGCTTGAAATCAAACCGTTGATGATCAGTAACGTCGACAGGGCTGCATGCATTGCATCAAATACACAACTCGTCTTCTGTCTTCATAATTCAGAGCAGGGATGCACTGTGGGAGTCCTCTGATCTGTGCTCGCACATGGTGTAATATCACAGTATTGTTGCAAGATTGAAAGAGACTGTGCTCCAACGAGTTATTTTCAGGCGGTATGATGAGGTTATATATGTAAACACAATGTCATTAAAATGCTCATTAAATCATTCAAACGTTTCACACAATATCTCATTCCAAGGATATTAATGAACACTTTAGAACACAACATCGCACTTAATAATTAAACAAAAATATGATTTATTCAGTTATAATAATAATAATATGTTTTTATATAGGGCTTATTTGGACACTCAAATACATAGTACACATGCTATTATTCTTGATGGTGATAAACAACTACTGTAGCCACAGCTGCCCTGGGACAGAAGCGAGGCAACCAGTATGTGCCATCGGCCCCTCCGACCACCACCAACCATTCACACACACACCAGACTCATTCTAGGCTATGGGGGTGAAGTGTCTTGCCTAAGAACACAACGACAGCAGACATCAGTAGAGTCGGTGGAACAAGTGTTTAAAGTGTTTGATTCTCAGATCTGTGTTGGTGAATTCAACGGTTTTGTAAAGTCCTCTGAGATGACTACTGTTGTGATTTAGGGCAAGAATAAATTAAATTGAATAAAATGTTTAAGATATTTGAACTGCAGTCTTTATGCAGTGGAAACTCCAGTGGTCGACCGCAGGTAAACAGGTTTTTGTAAAGCTCAATGTTGCATTTGATCTTTTATTTGGTTGTAATTGGGGCAGAGTAGATTTGCAGTTTGGTGCAAGGCCTTCTCCCTCGTTCTATAAAATGTGCTGTAATCTGTGTCTTTATGAGTCCATCAGGATCTTGGTGCGTTGTTTATGGTCCTCTCAGGCTGGGGTTGTTCATAGTCCTTCATAGTATCTTCATTACACATTTGTGAGTTTTTAGTTAGTAAGTTCGACGGTCAAGGGCCAGGGCATGTAAAACCAGATGATTAAGCACTGAATTAGTTCAGGCTGAATGTGTTTGAGTATAACCCCAATTTTATAATTCAAAGAGCTGTGTTCTTTAACAGGCACTGTCCAGAATAAACAATACAAACATAAAATATACTTTTAATTTAGGCTCCTCAAAATTGGGTATGTTTTTCAGATAACCATTGCCATTAGGATTCGATTGGTAATTTTTGCTATGAAGCTATAATATAATGGTGTCTCATGGCACTCAAAGAATTCAACTTTGGGCAAAAACTGAAACCACTGGCAGTTACCCTAGTGTTTCAGACTCTTTTAGAGCTCTATACACAGGGATAGGAATATTTATAAAATGATCTACAAGATCATTTTCTGTTTGCAATTATTTAGAATTATTCTTTACAGCCTTTGCAACCTGCTACTTGTGGCCACTAAAATGGCCATTTCCTTCCATTTGTAGTCTATTTACCTGAACATACAGCCGAAGAAAACACTACTAATTTAGCTTATTCTATTATCCTGCAATTACAAGAGAACTTTCTCAGAAGTTTCTTCTGCTTGCTTAGAAGAAAGTCAATGTAATTTTTTTTTTTTTTTTTTTGCAGGTCCCTGACTTTACTTGTTACTCAGAAAAAGAAAAAAAATATTACAGTAAGTTTTTAATATATTTAGACTTCATAATAAAAATCTATAGATCACTTGGTTTTTAGCTGAAGGTTTAAATCCCAGGTTTTATTATTTTTTAGCAGTTTAATGGTTCATTATCTCCAGCCCTGTTGCCCGGTGTATTCCTTGAGGATTCAGTCCATTAGCCGCTCAGTGATGCCCTTCACCAGAGCCCACTGTTCTGGCCACTCGAGGTCAGACGCCTCCGCTGAGCCACTGCCAAACCAGCTCTAGTCTCACCATTTCACCAAGAATTAGGCAGCCAGGCCAGTACAAACTCAAACAAATACAAATGTAAATGTTAACATGAACATTTGTGACACTTGAGAACATAATGGGAAAGAAAACCATGTGGCTTTACGGTCTGATATTTACTTTACAAACATGGAAGAGAAGGGATATATGCTGTCATAGGTCTGCATAGGTTTGACTTTTTATATCATAATATTTAAGATTTTTCTTATTTTTTACACGTCATACCAGTTTGATCATATTTTGGCATCATAATTTCAATTCCTGTTTGTGATTGTTGAAAGAGAGACAAACGTTGTGCCAAACCTCTGTCTTTCCGTAACGTATCAGTTCTAGAACGCTGCTCACCTTCCTGGAGCTGGAAATATTGTACCCATTGGTTTTCACAAACTTAGATTTTATTTTGAAGGAACATGATTTTTGCAAAGGACAGTAAGTAGTCAGTTTTCGGATGCTAGACTTTTTATTTCTCTCGGGGAACATTGCGCAGGCCTCATAAACAGAGCAGATGTTATGTTGGGGATTTAGAGTTTGACTGAGTGGAGGCGATAACAAGAGGAGAAGTGACAAGACCAAAACAAACGGCACCTTTACCGTTCCATGAGCAACACTTTTTGGCTTCTCAACCTTCACCATCCAAACAAGAGTGTGTGAAGTAGTGACACATATAACCACATTTTAACGCAGGAGTAGACTGTGGACCACATCCATTGATTTGAGCCCCAGAAAACAATGATTGTTAATGGAGCAGTAATAATGGATTCCCCTGACCATTTATTTTATTCGGATACAATTCCGACAAGCTTTAATAACAAACACAAATGAGTTATGTTAGTAATATTTCATGATTGATGCTCACATTAAATTGCTCTGGTTCATTGGAAGCATGTTCCGGGGCGCGGTATGGTAAACTGGTAACTGGTCAATGTTGTATTTTTTTTCCCCCAAAAAACACATGAACAGTTGTTTAAAATGTCTGTTAAATCTTTTTTTCTATAATTTGTAGAAATGTGATTTTATTTGGTAAACTGCAAAGTCTCACTGTGGCATACTTCCCCACTGTTGCTCATGAACTTTTCTTTACGGCTGTGAGAAAAAATGTTTTTATCATAATGTCCAAAACCACATCCTCTATATATCAAAAGTTCCCTTTTTGAAAATTAGCTTATTTTTTTTTCCTTTTGACAGATTTTTATGCTTGATTTAAACTGGGGATGTGCTAAAAGAAATTGATGTTTAGACCAACATTTTTAATAGTTTATATTTTTATTTTGAAAATAAAAATATTATATTCTCTCTTTTTACTTTATCAATTAATATTCATAAAGGCAACAGTGGCTCAGTTGGTAGAGCATAGGCCTGAAGGTCGTGGGTTCGAGCCCACCAAAAGACTTACTTCACAACTCCCACTGATGTCTTCTATCGTTGTGTCCTTGGGCAAGACACTTAACCCTAATTTGCCTGAGGTCCCTGCTGAAAGATGAAGACTCCTGTGGACTCACCACCTGCAGGAGGATCAGTGAGGGGCTGGTGTATGGGTGCAGCTCTGATCAATATTCATTCAAATAAACTACACTACTTCCTGCGGCAGCTCAGGAAAGCCAAGCTGCCTGCTCAGATGTTGGTGCAGTTCTACACGGCCATCATCGAGTCCATCCTCACCTCCTCCATCACCCCCTCCATCACCCCCTCCATCACCTCCTCCATCACCTCCTCCATCACCTCCTCCATCACCCCCTCCATCACCTCCTCCATCACCTCCTCCATCACCTCCTCCATCACCTCCTCCATCACCTCCTCCATCCCCGTGTGGTTCGCTGGAGCCACAGTCAGGGACAAGCGGAGACTAAAGTGCATTGTCCGCAGCCTCCCATCGCTGCAGGACCTGTACGTCGCCTGAGCTCGAGGCCGGGCCGGTCGTATCACAGCTGGTATTGTATACATACACAGACGTTTAGCAGTGCACTTGTATATATATATTTTTCATGCATGCCTTATTGTATTTTTACTTTTAATAACTTGAGAGCCAAAGCAATTTCTTAGTTTGTGACTTCCTGCTACTCACAATGCCAGTAATTCTGATTGTTAAATTGTGGCAGATCATTTGATAAGGGGTCAATGTATGAGTATTGAATAAGTATATTGTATGTATTGAATTGTATTGTGTATATACATTGTATTGTATCTTAATGCTAATCATATGGAGGCTCGTAGGGCATCAGCGGCCTCTGAAAGAGGCCCAGACCTAGTTTTAATTCTGATGTTAAAGAAACAAGACGATAAAGAGCATGAGCAATGAAACCCTGCTCCACGAGGAGCGTCTCTTTTGGATTCAGCATCAACGTTTCTCTTTGTAGTAGTAGTGTTTTCTGCACTGAGTGAATGAAATTTAATATTGCTGTTATCTATTTCTTCTGAAGTATTCAAGTGCTCAGAGCAGAGGCACATCAAACAAAAGCATGTCAAGAATATAGACTTTAATGCTCTCCTTCTGGTTTAGAAGCCATATGATCATTGCTGCTGTGGATTTACTGATTCTCTGTTTCAACCATCTCACAAATCGATAATTGAAATGGTTAATTATTGATTAATCGAGCCTTAGACTTCAACACGCTGCAAAGAGCTTTTATGATTCGATGTTTTTAATCATCAGCAATCTTTGTTTATTTCATATGTATGCAAAACCCCATATTCACTGACCTTCAGATCTGAACAACTAATTAAACTAATGGGCAGCATGGTTGCGCAGTGGTTAGCCCTTGTGCATCGCAGAAAGTAGGTTCTGGGTTTGTTTCCACCTGCAGACCTTTCTGTGTGGAGTTTTCTGGTCTGTGAAGGTCGAGTATGAAAAGAGATTACTTATTTTCTTTCTTACTTACTTGATTACTTTGGTCATTCATTCATGTTTCTACTTGATACACCGTACATGTATGTGACAATACGGGATTTCTTTGTAAATTCAAACAAAAATGCCTCAAAACCTGATGTCTAGTGTGTTCAGGATCAGTGTATTTTATTCAGGTGGGTAATGTCTGAGTCATGCAGAGCTGCGGGCCTAACCACACAGTCTTTGATATTAGTGTGATGCTGGCAGCCGTGTCTTCTCTATGACCCCCCCCCCCCCCCCCCCCCCCAAACTCGCTCACAGGTCTCTCATTTCCTCTACGCTCTCATTCCACGGAGCCATCTAGCTGTATTTGCGATCTACATGCAAACATTAGCATTAGTGCAACTTCTTGTAAGCTGTACAACAATCACTGATGAAATGGTACAAAAGCAACGCACTGCTAACAAAATAAATAACTGAAAGATTACCGCTAATTTTGCGTCCGAATGTAGTCCGAGCATAGATAGTCCGCCGAGCATAGATAGTCCGAGGCAGTCCCGCAGGTCTGTCCAGAGGATACGATGTAAGCTTGGTATGTTCACCCGGGCTTGATTTCTTCTTTGATAATTTTTTCACTTTAGTTCCCTCTTCTCTTCCTCTCTGTAGCGTTGTTTGGGTGGTTTGCTGTGTATGCAATTACAGCAAGACATGGATCTATTATCCATCCACTGGATAGGGTATTACTAGCTTGTAGCTGAATAACCCACGTGCTCGGGGGATTCTCGCGGTACTGCAGACTGAACCAGACTAAATTCACGTGGGCTACCCAGAAATTTTCCCCATAGAACTCAATGCATATTAAAACAGCTCAACCTCAGCTGACAGAGAACCTACAGCTTTCATAAAGGTCGGATTTTGTGGGAATTTTAGTGTCCCTTGTCATCCTGAACTTTTTTTCTTCTTAAATCCTTCGGTTTTGTTTAAATCCACACTTTAGTGCCACAAACTCTGCTCGTCTGGCTCTTGCTCTAACTCCTACTCTGATGAACTGCTCTGATTGGTCGGAGCGCAGCCGAGCCCCTCTGTGCACGTGCGAGAGACCCACACAGTGTGTTTGGTGCAACGCATTATGGGAGCTCGTCCACTGCGCAGAGCCGGGAGGACCAGACGATGCCCAAATACAGGCGAGTTTCCCATAGATCGTTGCAAGTTCCAGGCAACTTCCGCTAATCTTTCAGCCCCCATGCCGTCACAAAGCGCCACTGAGCACATCCATTCATTTGAATAGGGCGCCATCTTGGATCGCCGGGGCTTGCAGCAAGAGGAGTTATAGCCAATTCTGCTAACATGCTACTGTGTTTAGCAGCGCTGTAGAGGCTATAGAGGACGCAGCCTGTTCTGTGATTGGAGGAGAGCGGGCGTCAAGCCAAAGTCTCTACTCAGCACTTTTATACGGCCTGAATTCATACACAAGCTGAATCAATGAGCTCAAGTTTTCAATTAAATTACGGATAATAATACAACTTTTATGTAGTAATAAGCATTTTTACAAACTCATAAAACAAAAATCGGGTATAGCTTCTTTAAAACCTCTGCAGAACACAACATGCTTCCACGAGAATAGTGCTGCAGCGACTTAAGGGTGCGTTTACAGAGCTTAACAAGTGGCCCTTTACATATGTTGCAGAGATTGGGAGGTCAGTGAAACATTAGCTGTTAAAGTTTACAATTTATCACTTAAGATGGGTGATAAACATTATGTCCATTTCATAATGTGACATGTAGAGAGCACTATAAGAAACATATTTAGGCCGTTTATAAGTTTAAAAAACTTTATTTGGCGTTTAGTTGTCCTTTTTAAGTTTATTTTTTCTTATTTCTTTCTTTCTTTTTATTTCTCTCCAACCAAAACCCAACCCTGTGTCCAGAACACAAAAAACCCAAATTAACAAACTGCAGGTGGACTAAACAAACAAAGGTGCAACTCCCGACCAACCCTATACAGCCGTCCAGAAACAAAAGCAACATCGTACTTGAAAAATAAAATAAACCAAAGTAGCCACAACCACTCCTGCAAAAATGTCCCCACTGCACCCAGTAAATAAAACACAAATAAGGCATAAACTAAGGCAAACCATGCAGCATTTGGATGGCTGAAAGCAGGACCACCTCACGCCAAGCAGGACCACCCCACGCCAAGCAGGACCACCCCACGCCAAGCAGGACCACCCCACGCCAAGCAGGACCACCCCACGCCAAGCAGGACCACCCAACGCCTACCAGCACCACCCCACGCCTACCAGGACCACCCCACGCCTACCAGGACCACCCCACGCCTACCAGGACCACCCCACGCCTACCAGGACCACCCCACGCCTACCAGGACCACCCCACGCCAACCAGGACCACCCCACGCCAACCAGGACCACCCCACGCCTACCAGGACCACCCCACGCCAACAAGGACCACCTCTTGTACTCCTGTCCCAAACTGTAAAATAAACAAATACAAATTGTTGCACAAAAAAGGTTTGAAAACATTACCAAAAATAAAACCATAAACATATCTACAAAAATGAAAAATAAAATAAAAAACAAGGTAAAAAAAAAGACAGGTAAAAGTAAGACACAAAACATAAGGCAAGAACGTATAGTCAACACCGACACGTTTAGCAAAAACATGTGTGAGCTTATGTACACATTAGACTGTTATTCCTGCTCTGCGAAGGTGAAGGTCAGCTGTGTTTATCTCCCGGGTGTGGATCGGTGGCTCCTTGTTTTCAGCTGCAACAGATAAATCCTGTTTAGGGCTCACCAATGCAATGCGTTAAGTTTGACCACGATCAGAATGGACTAAAATGATTGTAAAGAAATTCAGTTTTAAGTTGATATGTTTTAGATATGCACAGGGCAGCACAATAGTGCAGATATTAGATCATGTGTGTTATTGGGTATTGGTTTAAGCTGATTGGGCATTTTTAATTGATGTAATAAGTTCAACAAGACCATTTACTGGCTGGTATTGTTCATCCACTAATGGGGAACGTGAGCTGGGGTTAGACCGTCGTGAGACAGGTTAGTTTTACCCTACTGATGATGTGTTGTTGCAAAAGTAATCCTGGCTGGTTCATCATCCAAACAAACATCTTCTGTAGCTATTTCATGAGAGAGTACCGATTAAATAACATAATTGGACTCATTTTGAGGTTAGCTGTGATTTGAGGGAAAATGGCTGTTTTTGCTCTAATCAGATGGAGAAAGCTGGATTTGTGCATCCCTAATATTTTAGCATAGTATTCAGTGGTATCCAGTGCAAATCTTGCCAAATATTGACTATCTATAGCAAGTTGACATTTCAGAAGATTCTGTTGTCTTATCAGTCCTATTCTGTACCATTTCTGAAGTACCAAGAAAAGCACTTTAATGGGACTCTGCAGTGTCATGTGACATTCTTGTGTTGAAATTGTGCAGACAAGCCTATCGTCCTGATGTTGAGACTGTCTTCATGTGTGTGTCCAACAGCACTGTGAGCCTGAGACACATTTCCAACACTGACAAACTGGTCTACAATCTCAAATCCTGTTGCTCATGTGTCACTGCAGCTGACTCTGAGTTTATAACAGTCACTGCGATCCTAATGCCCTTTAGACACATTTCCTGCAGAAGTTATGTGTCTTCTTTGTCTGTAATGGTGCTTTAAGCCTTTGCTGTGCTCTGTTGTTTTTATTCTGGAAGTTACATGACTTACTGTGGACCAGAGTTCTGCTGAAATAATAAGCTCTTCTTCCCCCATGCCTGTGAATCCTATATAATCACGCTCTTATTATTGCACGAGGCTGCAGCAGAGAGGTGGACTCTTCCTGGGATTGTCCTGCGGTGTATTTCTGTCCGTCAGATTGATCGGGTTTTCTGGTGGAGAGAGCAGTGATGGCAGTCCGCTGTCTCCATCGCTACGCTGATGGACTGTGTGCTGATGGGAGGAAAGTGGCAAATATTTATGTCAGGTTCCATTGTACGAGAATGAAGTGAGAGATGGTCTGCAATAATTCTACATTTGTTAAGGTAATCGTATGTGTCCGCACAGGAATACATTCAAGATTTTCTTGCCTCAGCTATTAAGAACTACAAGTGGACTATTATTTCATCAAAACTTGAAACTGCTAAACTCCCTCCCAGATTAAATGATGATCAGGACATTGTGGAAGTGTGGCGTACGAACTATTTTTGGCCTAAATGCATATATGTACTTGGAGCTGTGCAAAACATTAAGGGATATACAAGAATTAATTATATTGTATTGTAATCAGTGAGTCAATTACAATAATGGTTTTCACGAAACAAATCCAATTCAATCATGAAGCCTTCAGTTTAGCTATCAAAATTACGCAAACATTTATGGGCAAAACAATACAAAGGTTTCAGTAAAGCTTGGTAATGAGACAATGAACAAATTAATACATTTTAGACATGATCCGGAGGGTTTTCTGCAATGGATGGGACTGTGTCTGTAAATATATCCCCAAGTTGCTTCACTTTTATGCAGCTCAGGTTTGCTCTTTAAACAACAAGAATAATTGCTAGGTTTATAGATTCATTTTGATCATTAGTTCCCTTTGCGCTGTCCACAGGGCTGTAGTGTTTTGTTTCAAGACTTAAGATTTAATTCATACACTGTCCTCTTTTTCTAAATCATTTTATTTTGCCCAATTTTTCAATGAATTATTATAATCTACCCGACCCATCCGGATAAAATAACAAATGATGATGCAAACACAATGAATGAATACATTATTATTATACGTTCATTTGATTTTAAAGTTTTACAAGGAAGTGCGAGATGGTAGACAAAAACAGGTTTTTTTTAGGGTTTTTTGTGAGAACGTGCACTGTTTTTGCATAAGAAAAATGTCAAATACTGAAGAGGAAATAAGCTTTGAGGAAGTTAAGACATTCGGTTGTCATGTTGAGGAGCGCAGACATTTCAAAGTGACGGTAAATGGGCCACTCTGATATTGACCAAAGATTCAAAATGAGCTCAAGGGCTGTGTAATCTACCAAAGAATAAGGTACTTGGACTCCATGGAAGATTTGTATTTCTTTTTCCAGAAATGCACTACACTGTTGGTATTTATAATCCTTTTGATGTTTGATTGTCCTTCTGTACTGGTCACTTGTTCATGGTCATCACAGAGAGATGCTGCTATTGTATTGATGTGGCAAGTAATTGATTGTCACATGATTTGAGGCATTCACAAGTGTGTTTGTGCATACGGAGAATGAACTGTGCTATATACAAGTAAACATGCCATGCCTAATAATCACTTAAATGTAGCTTTAACACGAGCGCTTTTTGTATCAAGAAAGTTGGCCCTTCACGTCAATCATTCAACCCATTCTATTGTACTGTACGGCTCTCTGTTACTTCAACACACTCTCCTTCACCAACAGAAGTAAACTCACCAAAGTCACACACACACGCAGCATCTAAAACCATCAGTCTCCCACCACAGACCTCTCACACCCCAACCACACAGCCGTAACACGCACGGCCCGGACACTAAGCTGAAACTCGGATCATCCTCTCCACTCCCACCTCACCGTGCTGCCTTCAGGCTGCAGATACAGAACATTAAAGTGGAAGTGGGCAGAAGATTCAGCAAGAATTTTGTCCCTTCAGCCATAGCTGCACTTAACCACCTTTTAATGTTGTCTATGTTCTTGTATTTTGTGTGTGTCATATGTGTATTTTGTGTATTGTAACTTCCTTCCTCCCCGTTCTATGTATATGACAGTGTTTGTAGAAATATCTGTCCAACTCTGTGCTGGTAATAAAAAAAAAAACACACCCCGATTTACTGTTATCAAAGAATTTTTTTGATTAATAGGTGAAATGTGAAGGTAGATGTTTTACCTTTTTTATTTTTGCGTGTTCAAAATGGATGGATTTTTTTTACAGCAATCTTATAAAAAACACAAAGACATTAATTTGTGCTCTAGTGCGTGTGAAAAGCTTGCAGAGCTCCCCTTCAGGCCACAGGTCACTCTCTGCTCTGCTCCCAGTGTGGCCATGACCTCCACAAAGGTTGAGCAAGATCAAGAGTGACTGAGGAGAGGGCCGGGGGAGAGGCCTGCAGGTACGGCTCCTGCAGAGAGGGCATAAACATGTGTCTCTGTTTGAACTGGTGGACACTGCACCAGTTTAAAACATCTGATCCACACTGGACACGATATACTGTATTTACATTACTCTATTTGTGTTTTAACATGTATCGAGTGGAAATATCCTAGTTTAGCCAGACAGTTAAAAGTGAATACGCTGTTAATTTACCACAAAAAGATTATTTTTTGTTATTGAGTGTTGCATGTAGCTTCATCTAATATAATCAAAAATGACCTTTTCATTTTCTAGTGTATAACTGGTGATGTCTTTCTGCTTCTTCAGATTCAAATGTTAAAAGAAAAGCATTGTTTGTTTACTGCATTGTTCATGGCTTCACAATTCTCCCTTTTTGTCTGAACAATAAAAGTTTACAGAGGTGACTTACCTCAAGCGGTTCACGTTTTGCGGCCTTTTCGTTTCACAGATTTTTGGTGTGCAATTTTCAGTGCTTTATTACAGCATGCTTTTTGTGCGCCGCGTGTAGAAACCACAATATCATGTACAACATAATGTAAGCGCCAGTAAAACATGACAATGGCCTTTATTTAAAGTCAGAAGGAAACTTTTGGCTTGTGTTCACCCTGGTGATTAGTTCAGAGGACTATCGCCGTCTTCCCGTACGCCTTAATCCTCTGTAGCTGTTTTTTATTTTTATTTTTACAGTGTATGTACTGCTTTTGACAGCTGCTGCAGCGTTCAGGCCTACAACAAACATATTTCATATATCGGCTGCATTTGCACTTCAGCAGTCGTGAGTTCAGGTGGTTTAGAAAAGTGTAAAGTGTGAGGTGAGGGGTTTTACAGCCTTAAAACATATATCTGCCACTTATTATTTCTAGAACGTAACCCCGCTAAAAGAGGGACCTCTGTACATCACTTCATCAGGTTTAATGTTAATCTTGTAGATGCATATATTTTGCATCTACATTGCTTTTACCTGTTTGGATGCTGTTCTCAGAAACTGTATTAATATGAATGATTTTGCTTCAAATTGATTACACGGCTCTTGATTATACACACAGTTGCTGCTGACATTTTCTGGATAAGCCTTTCCATGGTGTTGCTGAAGCTAAGTGCAAGCTAAGTCATTCACGTTTTGCCTAATGGTCCCTCTGGCTCTGATCTCAACTTTTGACCTTAAGCCTTTTACCAAACGTTATAGAAACCTCATTCATTGCTGAAGTGAATGTGAGTGCTCTCTGTGATGCATTACTAAAGCTGTGGGATGTGAGGGATATTATTATTTCATCAGAAAATGGAAAATCCATCCCTTGCCTATACAATGTTATTTTGACAGTATGTTTTAGTGAACATGCACCACAAACCTTTTAGAATTACCCTGTTCACACCTTACTCAAAATCATACTTTCTCGCCTAAGCTTAAATGGCACAGTATCCGGTTTTCAAATATCTCGATGGGAAATGTTGAATGACACATAACACAGCAAAACGAGCACTACTATCCAAGGCTATTCAACATATCCAGAGCGACTGATTCCAATGGAGAACAATAGTAGCTTGTGGCCCATACATAATCCGGACACCCGTGTTTTTGCTCTTCTGTTTCCCATACATCTCCTCCTTGTGCTTCTGTTTGCCAACATAGTAACATCAACTCTAAACTGTGCTTTCATGTCCCCTCTCTTCTGCAGGATTACACAATATCCTTCTGGCCTGATCCATTCCGTTTACAGTCAACAAATGGGTGACAAAAACAAATTGCAGTTGGATTCAGAGAGAGATTTTGTTAATGGATTCACTTGTTTGTCCTGGTAGTCCTCTCTCTCTCTCTCTCTTTCCTCTTACTGTTATTGGCGGTGGAGCGGGTAAGAGGCGGCGGCATAAAGAGCTCTCATATTCACATGAGAGGCTGAAGGCTCTGTGGCGTTATGCATGTATTGTACTGTATACAACTTTTTGTTTTGCCTGCTGTACGGACTTTGAAGAAGATGATATGCAAGCTTTGGTCTGACTGGTTTGTAAACAGAACTGCAGTCGCATCCAAAATATACTTTGTTTCTGTTCCAGTGAAGGCTAAGAACGGCATAAAAAGACTGATTAATGGCCAAGTTAAGTTTTGAGTGAGATATGAAATCAAATGGGTGATTAAAATGATTTAAAATAAGGCACTGGTGGTGAGTTTTAGGCGGGTCGACCAAAATGTGCAATGGGGTATTTTATGTACATTTCAAATTAAAGTTAAAAATCTAATGTTAAATTTAGTTGAATGTCAAATGTCAAGGATCATCACTATAGTCCTTAGACTCTTAAAAACCCAGTGGGAGAAAAGTCAGGCTATAGATCCAGGACTCAGGCTGTAGAACGAGGACCAAGGCCCCGCAATGCAAGAGTGAGGCGACGGTTCTGTGGTGGTAATCCTTCATTTCCTTTTGCCTTCCAGTGACAACCTCTCATCAGACTGGCCCCGTTCACATTGACAGTCGTGCCTCCTCTTCCTCTCCCTCACCATGGCGATGAGCGGCAAGCCTGTGTGCGATGTGGAGGAGCAGACCAGCAGCCTGGCAGCCACCATCTCTGCCCTGACCATCGACGACACGGGCCACAGTAACGGGGTGAAGAACCAAGGCAGGAGGACCCAGCCTGCTCGGCCCAACCTCAGCGGCAGGAAGCTGTCACTGCAGGAGAGGGGCACGTACCACCCCCCACACACCTCCCCCCGCCTGGCCCGCAAACCCACTGTGGAGTCCAAGAGAGTGTCCATATCAGACGCACAGGTCAGTGCTTTGCCCAAATCACTTTTTAAAGAAGTTGTCCCTTACTTACATGAAATACTGTATATATGACAGTCGGGAAAGTAGAGTTCAAAACGTTCAACTTACAATGGGAAACCAATACAGCATATGATATGGACTATTTACATCCATTTCAAAATCTTCCAATTTAGTACTTTTGAACAATATTCTGCATTTCCGAGTTTGACCTGTGTATATTTTTGAGTAGTAGTTTTGGTTCATCCAAAAATCCAGCTGGCTCTGCAGAAGGATTGTATAAACATCCAAAACTATATATTTGAATAACTGTTTAAGAACTTTACACTATTAGTAGTTGAACGAGTCTAAAAACACCTAAAACTAACTTGAGCAGATTATTGTCACAAGGTTAAATGAAAATGGAACCCAAAATGCAGGACTGTAAAAATAAAGTGTAATTTCATAAAACAAATCCAAGGTAACGACTAACGAACAATAGACATTGGACGGACAACAAGTCGGGAAAAGAACAGGGTATAAATGCAGACAGGGAGACATCGGTGAACCATATTCGGGTGGGGCAAGCAATCAACAGACAGGAAGCAAACTGAAACTACATTGTAAAATAAAACCTGGTCAAAAAATCAAAAGTCCACACAATGACAACTATTGAATACAGCGACAACATTCTCACTTGACTTGAGGTGAGTAATTTTCACCGTTTGCTTCTTTGCCTCTGTGGGTCTGTCGCTCAGTGGACCCCTGGCTCTTTGCTTCACTGGTCGTCTCTGTATTCACATTATGACACAGCAGGTCGTTTCACTTCTACTATTAAAACGTCACCCGACCCCTGTTGGTGTCATTTATTAGCGATTTGTTACTACCTGGTTCGGTTGGCAAGCCTGAAGCCTGTACAGTTGTAGTGAAAAGCATGGCACGTTTATTTGTATCACAATCTATAGCATAATCCATACACGATAATCCATACACAAGGCCTCCCAATGCGATTGACAAGACAAGAAAAGAAACATTCGAATCATGAAATGTAAACGATAATTGTGTGTTTATTTTTAGAATATAAGATCATATCTGTCAGTGTGCACAGTCGTGTGTGGGCTGGGATCCGCGTAGGTTCCTTCGGATATGCGGGTGCAGGCACTATGCAGACGGTTTCAATCGAGTCCCGGCCAGTGTTTGTCGGACTCCACCGTGATCTGGTCCAGTCTGTGGTGTTCTCTAACTATCCCCTGTGAATCTGCGTGGCTTTGGGCAAACCCGCATCTGTTTGTTTAGTCCTGACTCTGAGCAGTCCCTGTGCTCCTCACTCTCTCTCTCTCTTTCCTCTTACTGTTATTGGCGGTGGAGCGGGTAAGAGGCGGCGGCATAAAGAGCTCTCATATTCAGATGAGAGGTTGAAGGCTCTGTGGCGTTATGCATGTATTGTACTGTATACAACTTTTTGTTTTGCCTGCTGTACGGACTTTGAAGGAGATGGTATGCAAGCTTTGGTCTGACAGAACTGCAGTCGCATCCAAAATATACTTTGTTTCTGTTCCAGTAAAGGCTAAGAACGGCATAAAGAGACTGATTGATGGCTAAGTTAAGTTTTGAGTGAGATATGAAATCAAATAGGTGATTAAAATGATTTAAAATAACTGGTAGTGACAGTTTTATCTCCGTGGGCGGGTCGACCCAAATGTGCAATGGGGTATTTTATGTACATTTCAAATTAAAGTTAAAAGTCCAATGTCCATAAATGTTAAATTTAGTTGAATGTCAAATGTCAAGGATCATCACTATAGTCCTTAGACTCTTAAAAACCCAGTGGGAGAAAAGTCAGGCTATAGATCCAGGACTCAGGCTGTAGAACGAGGACCAAGGCCCCGCAATGCAAGAGTGAGGCGACGGTTCTGTGTTCTCTAACTATCCCCTGTGAATCTGCGTGGCTTTGGGCAAACCCGCATCTGTTTGTTTAGTCCTGACTCTGAGCAGTCCCTGTGCTCCTCAGAGTCCAAGAACGTATATAATAGACTTTTCCACCAGCAGTGCTGCTTTTGAATGTACAGAAAGCACGATGGCAGTGGACGGAATGACAAGGAGCAGATGGTTTAGTGATGTGTTAGAATTCTAGCATCAATACCGCTGCTGCTGTCACTGTTTTTGTCAGTTACATGAGGGACAAGAGACCTCTTTGTCACGCCTTCATCAAATAGGCTCAGGAACAAAGAATGGCTCGTGTTGGAGGAGGAGAACATGCAGTGTCAGAGGGAAACAGCTCATTATTTACCATGGCAATCACGTGTGGCTGCTTAGTGTAGTGTAAACTGTGAAACACTGGCAACATGCTCCACTCTTCAGCTGCTTCACACGCCTCAGAGGCCCCTGTAGCTACAGGCACAGCTTTCATCCCCAAACAGGGAAAGTGGTTTACTATCCAACTGACATGTTTACAATATTGTCCTCTGTGTCTGTCTCTAGTAAAAAAAAGAATAATATTTTTTGCTGTTTTTTACTGCTCTGACTATATAGTGTAATATCGATTTGATTATAGTGTACTGATCATAATCCCGTACAGTACAAAAATGTGATGTCAATTATAGGAAGAAACGACTGCTGTGAATTTGGATGTATCTTTCAAAAACCTTGTAGAGTTTTTTTGGCCCTGTATCCTCACTATCAAAACAGGAGCACACCCAATTGCCAGCTGTCGTACCAGTTTGTACTTGAAGCGAAAAAGATAATACAATCTTCAGCTGTCTATTTTCTCTTCGCTTTTTAACCAGAGTTGTATTATGTAACTTTGAACTATTCCCAAATCGCTTTTCCTCTGACTTTTCCTCTTCAGAGGGAGCATTAAAATTTCATGACATGAGCCAGGCGGAGTGTGGAAGCCATGAGTTTTACAGTCTGCTGACACACTCACAGACCTGTCATTGTGTCCTTCCCCATTTGAGCGCAGAGCTGCAGTAAACCATAAAAGGACCGTGCAGCTTGAATCTCCCCATTTGCTCTCACAATTCCTCCTGCTGCTTTTCTCAGCTGTCGCATCGTCAATAAACACAAGCAGTATATAAGGTAGGACCGATTTGTTTTTCTTTTGGAACCAATGGGAATGCCAATTTCTTTAGGGGGTTCGAGGGTCTGCCAAATACAGATTTATCCATCAACCCTCAGCCCATAAATGATATCATAATAATATACGTCATATACGGTAATATGAAAAAAAATTGGATTAGCCAAGCTCTTAAAATGTTACTCTACTGATTATTTCTATTAAAAAAACATAATTCAAATGAGGCTGCTCATGCTGCAAGTAAATTTAATTTAAATCTGTCTCCAATTGAATGAAATTAAAATCCAGGACTTTACACATGTGAACCATGGCCACTAAACTGGTCCATTAGCATTAGCCAAAGATGCTAACAAGCAATTCTAGCTGCTAAGATGCAGTCAGGCGCATTTTTTTAAATATTGTGGGAAAACGTCCCAAAACCCTAAAATAATAATAATAATAATAATAATAATAATAATGCATAGTTTTTTTTATACCGCTTTTTTGGACACTCAAACACACTTTACATGTCATTATTCTTTCACTCCATACACGGTGGTGATGAACTACTACTGTAGCCACAGCTGCCCTGGGGCACACTGACAGAAGCGAGGCAACCAGTATGTGCCATCGGCCCCTCCGACCACCACCAACCATTCACACACACACCTGACACATTCTATGGGGGTGAAGTGTCTTGCCTAAGGACACAACTGCAGTTTGGCACTTAACAGCCGCAGCCGCCCCACTGTGGCACCTGGTGTTCCCAGAGGTTAAGTGTCTTGCCAAGGACACAACGACAGCAGACAGTGGGAGACAATGGTGAAGGTCGGGCTCCAACCCACGACCCTCTGGCTCAAAGGCCAACGCTCTACCAACTGAGCTACTGTAAAAGTAGTCAAGTTATCATGTGTTTTCAAATAGCAATAGTGACCAGCTCCCTATAGTCTCCAAAAATTAATAAAACATATTTTGGAGCGGTCCGATAAAAATAAACCAATAGGATTTGTTCATCCCCAACGAACCAAAATTTCAGAATAACCTGATTTATTCGGCATCAATATAATCAGTTGACCACAGCTGCCATGACTTTTGGCCCCTCGAAAAGTAGCTACACATGGTGTGGAAATTATAATATGTTTCCATTTGTTGGATTTCGAAGTACATCCCTCAAATTCAGTTAAAGCACCTCTTGAGTGCTTTTTCTGATGCACAGAGTCAAAAATATGAGAATTGTTTTTATTTATGTTCTTAATAAATAACCAACTGAATACTTTCAACGACTTAAACCTAATTTAGTTTATCAACAATCTTGCCCTTGACATGTTCCGCGGCAAGGATAAAAGGGGCAATAAAGATAAGATGGCTATTGGATCAGAGGCCCTAAACAAAGCAGAGGGAGATGCAGACACTATCGCTAAACTGCCTGACTGTGAATGAAAACAAGCTTATTTCCATCTTTTATGTATTTTATTCATTAGTGCCATTTTTTTAATGGATTTTGGATGAAAGCACTTCCTTTTGCATCTTTTTTTTAAAACATAAAAACACAAACACTTACAGGTTCAATTTCAATTCAATTTATTTTTGTGTTGCGCTAAATGACAACAGCCGTGGTCTCGGCAATATACAAAGTTGGTACATAGGAAGCAGGATGACCAATGCTCCCTGTTGGATTTAGTGTTTGTGTGAGTGTGTGTGGCACACTCACACTCCCTTGTTTCAGGATCCCTGGCCTCTGATTGGAGAACCACTGGTGTTTGGTTTCTGTGTGAGTTCAAGTTATGGATCTATAATTATAACTGGATAGGGTATGACTACCTTATAGCTGTCCCACCCACGGGCACAGGGGGCGCCCGTGGTACTGCAGACTAAATTCATGTGCGCTACCCAGAAAAATGTTCCCCATAGAACTCAATGTAAACCAAAACAGATCGACCTCAGCTGACAGAGAACCTACAGCTTTCATAAAGGTCGGATTTTGTGGGGATTGTAGTGGAGTGAAATGTCAAACTTTTTTCTTGAGAAATCCAACAAACTCTCCTTGTTTTCTTCCCACTTTAAGCTCTTTAACGCTCTAGCTCCGTTCTGATCAACAGTTCTGATTGGTCAGAGCACTGCTGAGGCCCTCTGTGCACGTTCATGAGAGCCACACACACATATTTGGCGCAAAGCATTATGGGAGCTCGTCCACTGTGCACAACCGCGAGGACCAGACAATGCCCAAATATGGGTGAGTTCCGCTAATCTTTCGGGCCCTATGGCGGTCCCAATGCGCCACTGAGCGCAAGCCATTGATTTGAATAGGGCGCCATCTTGGATCACCGAGGCTTGGTTCAATTCCGTCCTTATTTTGTCCGTTTTGTTTTTGGCAACTTATCATTTACATCCCCGTTATTAAATTACTTGCGTTTCGATTCAACATCTTTTTGTTAACTCCCTCCCCCTAGAAGAGCTGGCCTCTCACATCCATAGATGTTTATAAATCTTTCTTTAAAGGCCACGAATGTCCTTAAATGTCTCGAATCATCACCACTGCAGCAATACTAAAACCAAAGCATTTAACGGACAGCACTAATATGCTAAATATAGCCCTATTATTTCAAGCATAGTGAACACAAATCCTCTTGCATTCTTCAGTCTAGAAGGAATGTCGTATCATAACATTTCGAACACATGGCTGCTTTGCTGGGGATGAATTTAAGGCCCGATCCCATATTTCCCTCCCAGCCTACATTCGACTCAAGCCAGATCAGTGTGATTTTGCCTCTACTTTTTCAACAAGGGAAATATCCGCTGTGTTTGTGCTGCCAAACTGTGAACTGGATGAAAGTCTTCCTCAAATCCTCCCAATTTTCTTTTACTTTCTTTCTCCTTACTGACTTTTTATTTTTGTACTCTTCAAAACTATTAAACTATTAAAAACTATTAAATAAACTATTTTGGTTTTTGTATTAGTATTTGTTTTATTTTTTCCCCCTCTAATGTTAGCAATACTTTATTTATTTTTGTTAGATACTATGATGGACAAGAGGTGACTTGTGCCTAATGTGAAATTCCTGAAATAAATAAACAAACAAACAAAACGTCCCTTTTATTATATACTCCACAAACATACAGTATAGCTTAACATTACAGATCCTCCTCTTTTTTAGTCATGAAACCAATGTGGGTTGCTCATTTCTCTGCTGCTTTAGGAGCCGAACATGTATAAGTGTAAGTGACATAAGTATATCATGTTCATTTCAAATCAGATGTTAGAAGAATTTCTGATCATCTCAAAGTATGGTTTCCTTCTTTTTTCCCCCCAATGTTTAGATGGAGTTGTCATCTTGAGGTGATTTGATCTCTTCATGTCTTAATGGTCCTGTAAAAAACAAGATTATGTAATTTTTTACTCTTTATCCACTTGTAATACTAGCCTTGCACTAAACCAGACTAAATATCCCAAATGAATTTAGTCTGGGAATCATGCATTCATTTTCTTGTCAAGTGGTTTTAGATTGTCCACTTTTGGCACTATGAATGTGTCTGTACGTATGCACTAATTCAAGATGTTACGTGATCGTCATTCGATGAGAAGGGACGAAGCGAAAAGATGTTTACACAATGGTCTGAAAGATAACTGCTGTTTTTGCGAGATGAACATGAGGGAAGATGGCTTCATGACTACTGCCGTCATGTTGGATCTGCGTCCTCATAATCTTGCCTTTTCTCCCCGTTCTGTGATTGGTCCCATATCTGTGCAAACATTTTGTGCTGAGTTTCCAGGCTGAAATGATTTGAACAAACCCGGCGTTATGGGGATTCCCAGTATATTCTACCACAGCATAATGAGGAATGTTTATGTGTGATTTCTATTCATCCATCCATCCATCATCTTCCCCTTAATCCATTTCTGGGTCTGGGGGGTGGCAGTCAGAGCTGCACCCATTTCACAAAGCACCAGCCCCTCACTGATCCTCCTGCAGGTGGTGAGTCCACAGGAAGATGATGGTTCCTACTGAAAGGGAAAATGTCAATGTCAAATGTATTTATACGACACATTTACAAAACCTAATGCTGTAAATGTTTGATAATCTTATTGATGTGATGACAATTAAATGTTTCCATCAGTTTCCCCAAATACCCTCGATAACCATAATTCTTCAGTCCATGTTGACTTAGTTTTCAATTCAACTGAAGTTATTATTGTATATCACTAAATCGCAACAGCAGTCGTCTCAGTTGGCTTCACAACGATGTCAACAACAGATCCGAGAAGCAAACCGTTTGAACACAGGAATTGCAATAATAGCAAACACAAAGGAGCCAGTGGTCCACTGGGGGCGAGGACCAGTGTCCATTAATAAATGTCCTTCAATGACCAGGATCATCAAAGTTACTTGCATTTTAATTTCTGACTGTGGCCCTGGTTGAGCCTGGCCCCTCCCTGTCCGCCATGTCTCCTTGCTCTGCTCTGACTCATTCCGCACAGCCAGTGCACGTTGCTATGGAACTGCTAATCAGCCTTTAAGCAGTCGCTCGCTAATGGCTTTCCAGACAGTAAACAGAAACTACCGGCCGACTGTTGCTTACATTTGTCTCAAACATAAGTGACTTTGAAAAAGTAAGCACCACAAAGGGAACATTTCTCTTGGTATATGGAACCCCTGATCCATAATGTGTTTTTGCTGTTACAGGACTGCATCCAGCTCAACCAGTACAAGCTAAAGAGTGAGATTGGAAAGGTATGTGGTGCTATTTTATTTGAATCATAAATGTTGTTATAAATGTATTTCCCAACATGTTGACAATGAGACAGATTTGCATTCATAAATTATAAATCTGACACACAGGGAATTAATTTTGCAAAAGATTTGACAGAGGACATTTTATACCCATGTCTTTTGTTGTGCTCACAAAGGAAGCTTAGCTGCCTTTCCTCAGCACAGGTGTCACGTTTGGAAAAATGTGAAGGTCAGGAGGATGATGGAGTTCACCAGAGAAAAACATCGCTATAGAAATAACTGCACGATGTGTGAGCCATTATGAATGAGTTGACTTGTGGCTTTTCAATGACCTTTGTTTTTTCAAGATTATCACATACTCTTAATAGATTTTAAAAGTTTCCATCTTGAGATGAATTTCTTTGTTGTATACTACAGCTATTTCCATCAAACTTGGTCAATATTCAGGTCAGTTTTGTGTGTCAGCTGTCTGGATGGTTTGAGGAATCGCACAGCCTCAGGCAAAGTGCGGGGGCGGAGCTTTTCTGTGCCAGAAAATTAAAACGTTTTTGAATGAAAGGGCTGTATCCAGTGTGATGCGGCTGAGGGTTTGACAGACTGCAGCTTAGGGCAAATATATTTACATGCTGAATGACACAGTGTAACTAGATGTGGGTGAATATCACATATAATAATGAAATATAATTTCTGAAGTCACATTGGCCTGGCTTACATCCATCATGGCTGCAGCTTCTTATTACCTGCTCAAAACAGCCTCCCATGAGTCTGGTTCTGTATCTGAACCTCTGCTGGATGCTTAAAACCTTTGATTATTACTATTGTAAATACTACAGTAAGTAATGGCAAGGCAAGGCAAGGCAAGTTTATTTGTATAGCACAATTCATACACAAGGCAACTCAAAGTGCTGAACAAAACAAGAAAGCATTAAAATCATAAATAATCACAGAACATTAAAAAGAAAAATATAAAATCCCTCAGTTGTATGCACAGCTAAACAGAACCGTTTTTAACCTGGTTTTAAACATTGTCAGAGAGGAGGCCTGTCTCACATCTTCAGGAAGATTGTTCCAGATTTTAGCAGCATGAATCTGAAAAGCAGCCTCCCCATGTTTAGTTCTGACTCTGGGCACTAACAGGAGTCCAGTCCCTGTGCTCCTCAGAGTCCGGGCTGGTTCATATGGTACTAACATGTCACTAATATATTTTGGTGTGAGGCCATGGAGAGACTTGTACACAAGCAGAGCTGTTTTAAAGTCTATTCTCTGAGCCACAGGAAGCCAGTGCAGAGACCTGAGGACCGGACTAATGTGGTCGTACTTCCTGGTTCTAGTCAGGACTCGAGCTGCTGCATTTTGAATGTACTGCAGCTGTTTTACAGCCTGTTTGGACAGACCTGTGAGCAGGCCATTGCAGTAGTCTAACCTACTGGAGACAAATGCATGGATAAGAATCTCCAAGTCTGCTTTAGACACTATGTTTTTGATCCTGGCAATGTTTTTTAGATGGTAAAAAGCTGCTGATGTTACTGATTTGATGTGGCTATTAAAATGTAAGTCTGAGTCCAGTATTACCCCTAGATTTCTGACCTTGTTTGAAGGTTTTAGGGAGAGAGACTGTAGGTGACAGATGACGCTCTCTCTTTGTTTCCGGGGACCAAAGACAATCATTTCAGTTTTGTCTGCGTTTAGCTGAAGGAAGTTATTTTGCATCCAGTCACTGATCTGTTGGATACAGTGAAGGAGTGAGTCCACTGGTCCATGTTCTCCTGCAGTCAGTGAGACATAGATCTGAGTGTCGTCTGCATAGTTATGATAGGAAACTTCGTTTCTGCGTATTAACTGACCTAACGGCAGCATGTAGAGATTGAACAGAAGAGGTCCCAGGATCGACCCCTGTGGTACTCCACAGGTCAGGGCCATATGATCTGAGACACAGTTTCCAATCTCCACAAAGTACTTCCTGTCTTCAAGGTAAGACCTAAACCAACTTAGGGCGGTGCCAGCGACTCCAACCCAGTCCTCTACTCTCTGTAAGAGGATCTCATGGTCGACAGTGTCAAAGGCAGCACTTAGATCCAACAAGATTAAGATTGAGACTTGGCCTGTGTCAATGTTCAGCCGGATATCGTTTGTAACCTTAACGAGAGCAGTCTCAGTGCTGTGGTGGGGTCTAAAGCCGGACTGAAACATATCAAATGAGTTGTTGATTATAAGAAATCTAGTAAGCTGTAGGTAGACAACTTTTTCAAGGACTTTCCCCATAAATGGCAGATTTGAGATGGGACGATAGTTGTTAAGTACAGTGGCATCCAGACTGCTCTTTTTTAGCAGGGGCCTGATGACTGCAGTTTTCAGGGCCTTTGGGAATATTCCAGAATGAAGGGACATGTTTACTATCTGTGTGAGTGAAGGTAACAGACTGCTCAGAACAGACTTCAGATAGTACATCCAGGCTGCATGTGGAGCAGCTCAGACTGGAGATTATCTCTTGGACATTTTTATCATCTACAGGTGCAAAGTGAGTTAGCTCAGAGAGCCTTTCTGGCTGTTGGATTGTTATCTGTGGATTGGCGACAATGGCGTTTTTGATGCCTTGAACCTTGTCATTGAAAAAGTGTGCAAACTCATTGCATTTACGTTTGGAAGTAAGCTCTAATGGCATCTGAACAGGGGGGTTTGTTAATCTATTAACTGTTGAAAACAGAACACGCAGATTGTTACTGCAGCCTTCAATCATTTCAGAAAAATACCTTTCTCTCGTACTACGTAGCACCCGGTTAAACTCACACAACTTATCCTTGAATATCTTGTAATCAACCTAGAGGTTGGAATTGCGCCACTTCCGCTCGGCCCTCCGGCACTTTCTCTTCAGTGCTCTGACCGAGTCTGCTTTAGCCCACGGCGCCTTCTGCTTATTTTTCACAATTTTAACCTTCACAGGGGCAACGGTATCCAGAACATTCAAAACACTAGAGGTGACAGAGTTAAACAGTTCATCTACAGTAGAATACGATACATTTTCAAAGTTTATCATTCCCATAAATAGTTCACTCGTATTTTCATTTATGTGTCTTCTTCGAACAGTTGCAGAGTCCACTGGTGGTTTGTTAGTGAAACACATGTCAAAAAATACACATAAATGATCCAAAAGCGCAACATCGACCACGTCTACATTTGAAATATTCACCCCCTTAGTAACTAACAGGTCTAGAGTGTGCCCTCTGCTGTGGGTGGGGCCACTCACATGCTGAGTGAGACCAAAGGTATCAAGAACTCAGCTCTTTTGCATTTCTGTCATTAACATTATCCACATGAATATTAAAATCACCTGTAATAACTAAACTATCAAAATCTGTGCATACAACTGAAAGCAGCTCGGTAAAATTATCAATAAAACTGTGACATGACTGCGGTGGCTTGTATAGGACAACGAAAAGTATTGGAGGAGATTGTTTTTGTTGTATTTTAAAAGACACATATTCAAAAGACGGAAACTTCCCAAGAGACATTCTATGGGAGACAAAGTGGCTATATACATTTAGTGGTAACAGTCTTCAAATAATGGAGAAAACGCATACAAATTATTATATACAGCTTTTTTCTGACAAAAAGGTGAATTCTAATTTTTTCTTATAATAAAAATCAAATAGATGGATAAAATAAATCCATATGGATGGTTTGATGTCCAACTGTAGATGATAAAAATGTCTCCCCCCTGGACTGCCACTCCCCCCTGGACTGCCACCTTAACGTGGTGGGGGAGTTTGAGTACTCGGATGATCCTGGGAGCTATGCTGTCTGGGGCTTCATGCCCCTGGTAGGGCCTCCCATGGCAGACAGGTCTCAGGTGACGAGTCAGACAAAACAGTGACGTCGCCCGGCATGGCGCAGCCGGGGCCCCACCCTGGAGCCAGGCCTGGGGTCGGGGCCCGTATGCGAGCGCCTGGTGGCCGGGCCTTAGCCCACGGGGCCCGGCCGGGCTCAGCCCGAAGGGATGACGTGGGCAGTCCCTCCTGTGGGCCCACCACCTGCAGAGGGGTCCGTGGTGAAGCGGTGCAGAGAGGACTGGGCGGCAGTCGAAGGCGGAGACCTCGGCGACCCAGTCCGCACACACAACAGCTGGCTCTTGGGACGTGGAACGTCACCTCACTGGGGGGGAAGGAGCCCGAGCTCGTGGGGGAGGTTGAGCGATACCGACTAGAGATAGTCGGCCTCACCTCCACACACAGCTTGGGCTCTGGAACCCAACTCCTTGAGAGGGGTTGGACGCTCCACTTTTCTGGAGTTTCCCGCGGGGAGAGGCGGCGAGCTGGGGTGGCCATTCTCATTGCCCCCCATCTCAGCCGCCACGTGTTGGAGTTCTCCCCGGTGAATGAGAGGGGTCGCGTCCCTCCGCCTCCGGGTGGGGGACAAGTCTCTCATTGTTGTGACGGCCTACGGGCCTAACAGCAGTGTAGAGTACCCGGCCTTCTTGGAGTCCTTGGGAGGGGTACTGGACGGTGCACCGCCCGGGGACTCCGTTATTCTCCTGGGGGACTTCAACGCCCATGTGGGAAACGCCAGTGACACTTGGAGAGGGGTGATCGGGAAGAACGGCCCCCCTGATCTGAACCCGAGCGGTGCTCAGTTGTTGGACTTCTGTGCCAGTCACGGTTTGTCCATCACGAACACCATGTTCGAGCACAAGGGTGTCCACCAGTGCACGTGGCACCAGGACACCCTAGGCCGGAGGTCGATGATCGACTTTGTTGTCGTATCATCTGACCTTCGACCGCGTGTCTCGGACACTCGGGTAAAGAGAGGGGCGGAGCTGTCAACCGATCATCACCTGGTCGTGAGTTGGATCCGCTGGCAGGGGAAGAAGCCGGTCAGACCTGGCAGACCCAAGCGTATAGTGAGGGTCTGCTGGGAACGTCTCGCTGAGCCCCCTGTCAGACGGACTTTCAACTCACACCTCCGGGAGAGTTTCTCCCAGGTCCCGGCGGAGGAGGGGGACATGGAGTCCGAGTGGACCATGTTCTCTGCCTCAATCGCCGATGCGGCGGCTCGTAGCTGTGGTCGCAAGGTCTCTGGTGCTGGTCCCGGCGGCAACCCCCGAACCCGGTGGTGGACACCGGCAGTAAGGGATGCTGTCAGGCTGAAGAAGGAGTCCTATCGAGCCATGATGGTTCGGGGGACTCCTGAGGCAGCTGTCCAGTACCGGCAGGCCAAGCGTGCCGCGGCGGCCGGGCTGTTGCAGAGGCAAAAACCCGGGACTGGGAGGAGTTCGGAGAGTCCATGGAGCATGACTATCGGTCGGCCTCGAAGAGATTCTGGCAAACCATCCGGCGCCTCAGGAGGGGGAAGCAGTTCTTTGCCAACACCATGTACGGTGCGGGTGGAGAGCTGCTGACCTCGACTGGGGATATTGTCGGGCGGTGGAAGGAATACTTTGAGGTTCTCCTCAATCCCCCCGTCACGTCCTCTGTTACAGAGGCAGAGGCTGAGGACGTTGGGGCGGGTACATCCATCTCCCTGGCTGAGGTCACCAAGGTGGTTGGTAGCCTCCATGGTGGCAAGGCTCCGGGTGTGGATGAGATCCGCCCTGATTATCTAAAGTCTCTGGATGTTGTAGGACTGTCTTGGCTGACACGTCTCTGCAACTTCGCGTGGCGATCGGGGGCAGTGCCAATGGAGTGGCAGACCGGGGTGGTGATCCCTCTCTACAAGAAGGGGGACCGGAGGGTGTGTTCCAATTATCGTGGGATCACACTCCTCAGCCTCCCCGGTAAGGTCTACTCCAAGGTACTGGAGAGGAGGCTACGGCCGATGGTCGAATCTCGGGTCCAGGAGGAGCAGTGTGGTTTTCGTCCCGGTCGCGGAACACTGGACCAGCTCTATACTCTCCATCGGATACTCGAGGGTTCATGGGAGTTCGCCCAACCTGTCCACATGTGCTTTGTGGATTTGGAGAAGGCGTTTGACTGTGTTCCCCGGGGTGTCCTTTGGGGGGTTCTCCGGGAGTACCGGGTCGGAGGTCCTCTGCTGAGGGCCATCCGATCCCTGTATGACCGGAGCCAGAGCTGTGTTCGCATTGCCGGCAGTAAGTCAGACCTGTTCCCGGTGAATGTTGGCCTCCGGCAGGGCTGCCCTTTGTCACCGGTTCTGTTCACTGTATTTATGGACAGAATATCTAGGCGCAGCCAGGGGTCGGAGGGGGTCCGGTTCGGAGACCACAGGATTTCATCTCTGCTGTTTGCGGACGATGTTGTCCTGTTGGCTCCAACGAACCAGGACCTGCAGCATGCACTGGGACGGTTTGCAGCCGAGTGTGAAGCGGCTGGGATGAGAATCAGCACCTCCAAATCCGAGGCCATGGTGCTCGACCGGAAAAAGGTGCCTTGCCCTCTGCAGGTGGGTGGAGAGGTCCTTCCTCAAGTGGAGGAGTTCAAGTATCTCGGGGTCTTGTTCACGAGTGAGGGAAGAATGGAGCGTGAGATTGACAGGCGGATTGGTGCAGCATGCGCAGTTATGCGGTCGCTGTATCGGACCGTTGTGGTGAAGAGGGAGCTGAGCCGAAAGGCAAAGCTCTCGATTTACCGGTCAATCTTCGTTCCCTCCCTCACCTATGGTCATGAGCTTTGGGTAATGACCGAAAGAACGAGATCGCGGATACAAGCGGTCGAAATGAGCTTCCTCCGCAGAGTGGCTGGGCGCTCCCTTAGAGATAGGGTGAGGAGCTCAGTCACACGGGAGGAGCTCGGAGTAGAACCGCTGCTTCTCCACGTCGAGAGGAACCAGTTGAGGTGGCTCGGGCATCTGTTCCGGATGCCTCCTGGACGCCTCCCTGGGGAGGTGTTCCGGGCACGTCCCACCGGGAGGAGGCCCCGCGGAAGACCCAGGACACGCTGGAGGGACTATGTCTCTCAGCTGGCCTGGGAACGCCTTGGGGTCCCCCCGGACGAGCTGGAGGAAGTGTGTGTGGATAGGGAAGTCTGGGCGTCTCTGCTTAGACTGCTGCCCCCGCGACCCGGCAACGGATAAAGCGGAAGAAAATGGATGGATGGATGGATGGTTTGATGTCCACATAAACACCAGAACCTACTGTATATGATCAGAGCAAGATGTTTTGTGAGTTCTACATGAGTCCAGCAGCCCAGGTTTCTATTGTAGTTTGTAGTAACTTATAATCTCTGTAAGAGCGGAAAAAACATATGGTTCATTTTAATGTATTCATCGTTTTGAACTGACCAAGACATATTGTTTTTGCAGGGTTCCTATGGTGTGGTCAAACTCGCGTACAATGAAGATGATGAAAAGCATTATGTAAGTCGCTCACATGGTGTCTTTCTCCTTGTCTCATTTGCAAAGCTCTGTATTGTCTCAAGACCAAGATGGAGAATTGCATCAGGAAAAACTTGTGTCCTGCAGTGAGATGAGCCTTCACGACTTTATTATCAATCATGAAAGCTATGTGTTAGTTTGTTTAGAGTTCTCTCTTGGTCTGACAACTATAAAAGTATAGCATTACAAGCTTTTGGATGTACTTGAACAAAAACTTGTCTTTTTTTTATAGTTACTGGACAAAGTATTTGACATGTTTTATTAGCATTATCTTTTAAAACTAAAACAACATTATAATATTGTATACATGTTTCATAGTGGCAGATAATGTAACACTCAACAAAACATGAAGAACCGAAGCAGAATGTTTATCTGAGCTTAGAAGCGCAACTAATCAAAATTCAATTCAATTTTTTTATAGCTCTAAATCACAAAAGTAGTTAAAGTGTCAAATTCACCTACACAGATCAAATAATTAAACTGTGTTTTTATCATTTCATTTTATCATAGTCATTTGTTCATAAGGTGCAGATGGTTAATGTTTATACATGACGATAAAGTCAACATTAAATAATTCACATAGAAGCATGGCTAATCTGTTTTTATGTTGTGCTGCCATCTGTAAAGCAACTAGTCATTTTAATATGTTTGGAAGATATTTTTTTTTCTTAAGTGAAGGGTAAAAATAAGTTAAATTTAAGTAAAAAAAGAAACACTGACAAAATACTCTGCTCAACTGTGTTTCTACTCTGGAAATATGCCGCTATACCCCACCGTATAACATTAACACATTTAAATATACAAGGTTGCCAGCTTTATATATTTAGATAATTAGAAGTAAAACATTAATTTAACATTTAAAAACACCCTAATTTGCATCTCGTAGTCACAAACTGTCTCCGCCACATCTGCTCCATGCTATCCCTGTGTTAAGTGGAGTTTATTAGGGCTATATGATGAGCTTATATCAAATTGGTGGAACAGTGACTTTAAACTGCTAATTACTGTCTCTTGTGCTCTTGAGAGTGGGGCCAGCGATTTGATTTCTTGTTCATTTGCGTAATGAGAACAGCTCTCCCTGGAGATGATACAAACACTTTAACTGTTATCTCAGTATGTGGAACACGACACCTAATTATTACCCAGTCACTCTGTCTGCAGCCAGGATACCCCTCTTTATGTGCCATAATAGCGGTATTATCCTCCAGGCCCTTTTAACATTTTATTTAACAGAGCAAGTGAAGGGATTTGGTTTGACTCTGCACAAATTGCCACTGTCTATTGAGTATTGTTCAGTTATTACTAGTGGGGCCAAGTCAAGTTGTTTCTTGTTTATTTGTCTTTTGTCATATTTTTTCTGTTGGGGACAAATTCGTAGAGGCATAATCGAAGGCATGTTATGGGTCGAATTGAAGTGGACTCTAGGAATAATTATGCTTCAGTTGTGCAGCTGTGAAAGCACCAAAGTGGTCCACGGGTCACTTATGTCGGCCCCTACTCATGAAACGGATGACAGTTTCCATGTTCATTTTTTTTGAGGGTCAATTTAGAAGACTCCAAAAACGCTCGGAGCAGAGCGTAAGGATAATCAGTCATTTCACACGGTGAGACGAATAATAAATCCATATTTAAAGTTTGCAATAATACATTTGTTCAATGCCTTCCTGGCCATAGACTGTAAAGGAGGGGATGTATCAATCTGCCGTGTGCCAAATATGAAGTCAGCGTGGGCGAAAATTGATGGCAGAAGAGCTGGTTGCAGGTTAAAATTCTTCAGAACAGAAACTTGTTGTTCTCTCTCCCTGCTGTTGTCAGTCATCATTCTGTGTTCCAATGTTCAGGGTTTAGTGCCATGTATGATCCTGGTGTTTGCATTTCAAATTGTGGAAGCAAACCTAGGCCATAGCTAAACCATTTCACTCCTCTGACTGCCCACAGTCCTGTCATGTGCACGCTCATACCACTATTGGATGAAATGCAGAACACATCTAAGAGCAAAATGGCGGTTAAACGTACTAAATTGTGCATATTTACTTCAGATAATAGTAACTATCATGTTATATTAGCGGCTCTATGATGTAGGACTATGCACACAGTGCATGGGAAGCACAGTATGGCTGCGAAAGCAGAACCACGGTATAGTGAGGAACCACTGTAGAAAATGTTTAGAAATGTCATGTTAAACACAAATGCAGTATACACATGTGTGGATAAGGAATTAGTACAAGTCAGTTCTTTACTACCAAGCTGAGTAAGGAATGAAGGCAAAGCAGATTCTTATCATGGAGAAACTTGAGCTCGATTGTTGCCTTGGACATGTTGTTGTTGTCTTTAATGGCAGTGCGTGGTGCCTTATTTCCCCACATCCATCCCCCTACAAGCACACACAGTACACCATGGAAACTGCATCCAGGACAATGGGTCCTTGCCAAACCTGGTCCCTGCACAGAACAGTCATGGTGATTGCTGAGTTGAAAGGGTATATTCTATTCTGAGTCTAAAATGCATGCCAAAATTTGTCACCTTTCATATTATCAACATTTTAGTGAGTGATCCTCATTCCTCACCAGAGGAGGCAAGCATGATAGAATAGACTTAGAAAATAGACTGAGATAACTGTAAATGTAATGTCAAACTCAAATGACCTCTGTTCTCTCAGGCAATGAAGCTGGTGTCCAAGAAGAGACTCATGAAACAATGTGGATTTCCTCGTAAGTCTGGTTTTGATGTTGTAAATAAATATATAATACCAGGATAAAGAAAAAATGATTCCCAACTCACAGTTCTACTAATCATTATTCTCATTTGTGACTGATGTTGCACAGGTCGACCGCCTCCACGTGGACCCAAGGCACAACAGGGAGAGCAGCCCAAGATCTTAGGACCTCTGGAACGGGTTTACCAAGAAATTGCTATTCTGAAAAAGCTGGATCATGTCAACATAGTCAAACTGGTGGAGGTGAGAGCACTGATGTAAAGCAATATCACTGTAAAACACGTGACTCTCTTATCCAGGATTAGACACTGAGGGTTAGTTTTAGTTTCCACTGTGCTTTTGACTGACTGCTGCACTTTGCGTCCATCGTCTGGACCGACGCACAACTGGTAAAAGCCTTTAACTGTTGTAACCAGCGTCTGACACTGTCACTGTGATCCACGAGGAACAGAGGCTCATCAGTGCAACCTTCTTTTCTCCTGCTGGGATTTCAACAAGAAAAGTGGAGTGCAGTCGGCGTAAGGGCGGCTGGTTATAAAAGATGTGGTGCCATTTTATCTCTGTGGCTCAAGATGCTTGTTACTCCTCGGCGATAGCATCAGAGTTGTTTTCGATCTGGAGCCAGATGGCAGGGGCACGTTTGTCCTGCTCAGGGAGTTGGGCTTCACTGAGTGACACTGCAGTCTGGCTCAAGGCTGAGCCAAAAATATACAGATATTAACTATGAAAGATTATCCCTGCCTCATGTCTTCTTAATGTAATGACTTGTTAACAAAAGCAGAGCTTCAATGATCATGGTTATTACAATCAGAAGAGAAGCCGCATAAAGACATTCTGAATCACTGAGTTAAAATCTCATTAACAACAAAGTGATTAATTGTAGGCATAATCGCTAGATAATCAAAAAGATTCATTAGTTACAGCCCTTACCACAAATATTATTTGTACTTGCAATATTTGCCAGTTGAACTGTGTGCATAAAATGTAATAGTTGAACCCCCAACAGGCTGTCTGGAGTTTGCATGTTCTCACCGTGCGTGCCTCGGTTTCCTCTCGGTGCTACTATTTAAACATGTGCGATAGGCTTCTCCTCCCTGGTGCCAGGACTCCCCTCTATAGATTCTCAGAGCTACTATACTGGATCCATACCAGCACAGTATTTTGTTACATGCCCTATTTGGTCCTTGCATGAAATCAATTTATTGTATTGTATATTAATCCAGAATTGTATCCAGAATCGACTTTTAAACCCAAACGAATTCACCAAAACATTTGTCGAGACAAATGTTTTTGAGCTCAGCTGTATTGATTTTTTTTTTTTTACATTTGACATATAACGCCCTTATATGGGGTTGTTTGTCCTATATGATCGCCCTTTGGCTGATCAACTAATAATAACAAGAAAATTACAAAAACTATGGGTGCAGTGCCTGTAAAGCATGTTTGAGCCTGTAGGAAGTCTATGTTCCTATAGGGGGAGCTACATGGAAATGTGTGAATGTTTTGGACTTTGAAACAGTAACATTCAAGGTTGCACACCATTGTTCTATTCAGGGCTGGACTGGGACCAAAAATCGTTTCTTTTTCCATGTTTTTTTTGTTTTTTTTTTTACGGCCATTTTTACAGTATGCGGAAGCACATAGTGTAGAGGCTCAGGATATATGCAGTTTCAACAATTATAATAAAGTGCAATGATCTACATTGAGATGAATAAACATGTCACTACAGAGTGAGGGAGACGGACATAGCACCATATTGTTTGTTACAGGGATGAGAATGGGACATTTCAAAGAAGTCTGAAATGCATAATGTCAGCCAATGGCTGTCATTAAATCTGCTTGATTTGTTCACAACATTTTACTTTTGGGCACAACCAACATGAACTGTTAATGCAAAAGGAAAATGTACGTACCCCAGCTTTAATTTAGCGAGTTTAGTTTTGCTTTGGGAAGAGACACAAGGAAGACGGGGACTGTTTCTTGCAGCGCTGTATTTATTGCATAAACTGGTTACGCAAAGGCACACACACAACAAGCACAGTGTGGTCCTGTGGGTGTATATGGTCTAGGGTACATGGCCACGTTACGGCCGCGCGCTGCCGTGTTGTTGTCAAAGCGGCTCACAGGCAGCCGCTGGACGCAGGAACCGCTGTCCAAAGGGGCCGCAGCTGCTCCACAAGGCTGCGGAGAATGTGGAATCCCGTTCAAGTTCATACAGCAATCAACAGCAAGGGCCACGCGGTCATGCGCGCCCCCCTCAAAAATGTCATGACAGATTTACATAGATTAAAACAAAAATATCTTTTTGTATGAGGCTCACAGGCCGGCCCAAATATGGGCATTGCCCGGTACACCCGATGGCCAGTCCACCCCTGGTTCCATATATTGTTCCGTGGCAGGAGCGCTGGTGCGTACTATCTTCTCTTGTCTGGTGCACACTGGGGTCGTCTTGCACAGTTTTTACAATGTGTTTTTACTGCAAATGGCAAATACATTCTTGAATCTTGCTTTAACTCTGATGGTCTATATGTGTGTTGTAGGTGCTAGATGACCCTGCTGAGGATAACCTCCACATGGGTAGGCAATGCACATTCACTTTCTAAACTCTATACATCCGCAATCACCCCCGGGCGCTGGGAACGCTCTCCACAAACCACCCCCCCCCGCCCCAACCCAAGCGTTCATTATTCAGATCTGTGCGGCCTCAGTCCTCAGGCGGGTCTCTGCAAACGGATTACACACAAAGTTCCCATCAGGTCACCTCCAAGACACGCAGTCAGAGTGAAATGTCACAGTCTTTATCCGCTTAATGTGCTTCTTAATTAAACAAATGTGAAGATAAAGTGTTGATAATGTGGTGCTAATGCGGGAGGCGTTTGCTGATGGCCGAACGGCTGAATTAATCAGTGTTTTGTCTTTTGCCAGTGTTCGAATTGATGCCAAAGGGGTGAGTCAAGAACACTTCCTTCTTCAATAATTCAGACCACGTTCTCCACCTTCACCCCATCACACCACATCTCGCTCTTCTTTTCTCTCAATATTTTGTGTTGCGTAGTGTGTTTTTATCCGTGCCCCAGCTTCAAAGCGCTTTGTAATGTTCTTAGGTTTTCACAGTTATTACCAATGGCAGTCTGCCTCGTAAATGTTCTTTTGTGCAGAATGTCTCTTCTCCCACGTCACAAGAAAATGTGACAAATTTTAGTTTTCCAAGTCCGCTCCTGAATGAAGGTGTGATGATGTTACTATTTAACATATGTTTATTAAAAGGTGTGGATATTTTTTTTTAAAAAGGGTTGGGTCGTGTGGTTGTTGTCAAGCCAGCACCATTTAGTTTTTGCATTTTTAATGTAGATAGATTTAGCCGTGGTCAAATGTGAAAGTATATACATGAAATCATTAAATAGATCAATTAAATGTAGTCTACATGTATATTTTTATAATTTTACTTACATTATAATGCTATATTTTTACGCTCTTTGTGGATTCTGTTAGACCAGTGATGGAGGTTCCCAATGACAAGCCCCTGTCTGAGGAGCAGGCTCATCGGTATTTCAGAGACGTCATCCTTGGCATCGAGTACTGTAAGTGATAACACTCTTTTAACTTGAACTACTTTAACATTAGAAACCCTGAAAAAACCCTGTAAAATATCTAAAGCAAGGCAAGTTTATTTATATAGCACAGTTCATACCTCTTGAAAACCCACCTTCTTTCTAACCGGGTCTAGTATCATGTATATGTACTATTATGCAGGAATATCTGTGACTCTAAAATTACATGGTATTATCTACTGTTCCTGACGCTCCATCTAATTTACTCTTAAGAGACAATGGGGGGATTTTTGGATGGGTAGTTTGATAATATTTCTCTCTGCACTAGTACTTTTTAGCTGAAATAGTATCACAGTTTACGATGATACGATTGGTTTGCTGTAAATGTTTCCCCGTATGGAGTAGTACTTGGAAGCAGTCAATCCAAGGCTCCAAGTTATCTCAGCCAAGAAAGTTTGAGTTGACGCATAATAAATCTGTCCGTCTGTTAGCACCACCACTCAAAAACTAGTCTTTTCTCTTACTCACACCAAATGAACCATATTTTTCCATGTGTGCAAACTTGATTGTTGTCGCGACATGGAAGCCCTCTAACTCACTGCTTCACGTCTCTGGTTTGCACATTTTATCAACGTTGTTAACTGGGAGTTGTCCACAGAACTCATCTCCGAAGAGGCTTCCATTAACTCCTGGAGCCGGGGTGTGGATGGACCTAAATAAATATGTCTTAAGTGAAGCCTAGCATTTAACCCTCGGCTGAATCCACTCAAGTGTTTTGATGGAGGTGTTAATGAGATGCAATTGTCCACAGAAATTCAAAACGGTTTGTTGTGCTTATCCCTCTTGAGCTTCCATTGATTTGTTCTATCCATCCGTAAATGTCACAACTGAACTGAACCATCTGTGCCGACTGTGGCGTGTCAGTTCAAGTCAACCAAACCAAAAAGGACACACGGAGGCCTTATTTATTTATTTATGCATTTATTTGGATCCCCATTAGCTTCCACAAGGGGTTGCTAGTCCTCCTGGGGTCCACTCCACCAAGCATCAATCACATAAAAAAACAAAACATTTCAAACATACAGTATAAAGAAGAATTACAATGACAAAAAAGACAAAACTTGATAAGAATTTAACATTATCGTTCAACAATCATTCATTAAATATGTAGATGTATTATTAGTTTGCCTTGATTCCATAGACAGCCAATTTAGAGCAGCTGAAGATCTAAACAAAACTGTTCTGCTCATGCTGTGAGTAAGGAACTAAATCTAGAGCGCTAACCTGCCAAGTCGCAAACTACAGTACTGTGTATGCTGTATACTATAGTGTTTGGAGCGAATGCATAGTACCATGGGAAACGTCTTCGAGCGTCTTCATCATTATTATTGTTAACGCTTTTGTATCTGCTTCAAACTAGTGCACTACCAGAGGATTGTCCATCGAGACATCAAGCCTTCTAACTTACTGCTGGGAGATGACGGCCACGTGAAAATTGCAGACTTCGGCGTGAGTAACCAGTTCGAGGGTAATGATGCCTTGCTGTCTGGCACCGCTGGAACTCCGGCCTTCATGGCACCAGAGACTCTCTCGGACCAACGTAAAAGCTTCAGCGGAAAAGTACGTCACCACTCATAGTCATAGGTATTAGAAAATGCTCTGGCCGGGTTCATTCATTTGACCGATACATGCTCCTGTGGTTCTTTGCCTTTGCGTTATTTGTGTTGCTGTGCTATAACGATTCCATATGTCCTACATCCTTTCAGTCTACTCTTAGTCTGCCTTTTTATACACGACGCAAAGACCAGAGCATTTACCCCTTCTGCTGCTGATTCTCAAACGAGTGACATTGAGTTGACAGATACACCTCCGCCTCAAGTCTGGGCTTTTTAAACATCCCACTTTCTGCAATCGGCCACAGTCAATTTCCTCCCATCAATAGCTGCCTCCTGAGGTGATGAATTTGGTCAAGAAAGGACCTTGTGTGTCTATAAACGGCTTGAGCAAGATAGAATATGTAATTGCCGAAGCTTCTTGGGTCTGAGAGCTCTTCAGTAATATTGCGTGAAAAGAAATAAAAAAAACTTGTTTGAAAAGATTTTGTATTTCTTCTTCTTTATTGTGAGCCATTTGTTTGGTCAATAGATTTTTGAGTATACCCCGCGAGTAACTTTTTTTCCAACTAGAAATCGTAGGTTTAAATGCAAAGTTCATTTTTTATTATTTACTTATTGATTGATTAGACAGGGACCTTGCGCAATAAATGTTCTCATTCCAAGGGAGATCTTTCTTTGATCTTTTAAAACAAGATAATTTTGCTTGTCCCATTGTCAAATGTTTTGAATTTTTTAGTCCCTGGTCAGAGTTAAAGTGACAGCAGGTTAAAGTGTGCAAAGAGGTAATGGATAGAATTGCCTCATTAGCATTTTAAATACAAGTATAATGGAACACCCTTAGCCACAAAGATACACAATATTTACAAAAAATACAAACCCGAGTAGTATGTAAGCAGACTAGCACAAACAAAGGAATCAGTCAATTTTAATTTGATTTAAAGCCGCTCGGAGAATTGATTTTAAAGAACTATTATGCTTTCGTCGGCTCTACACTGCAAATGATTTACGGTGTGTCATAGAGGGGCAATCTCAATTTCAATCTTGAAACATATAATTAAAGAAAATATTCCACTGTTGTCTGCAGCCTGTTGTATTGATTAGCACTCTTCCCATTTCTGCCAAACATCCGGTACTGCTGTCCCCTCTCAGACTGCTTATCCATCCTTGTATGAATAACCCTGACCCTGGTACATATGCCACATACAGTATGACAGTGTGTAGGTGCTTATGAGCAATGGCGCCTTGGCTGTGAGAAAATAAAGTTTGTCATTTACAAACTCTGTTGAAGGGTTTAAATGGGTCACATTCTTATAAAATGTCGTCTTTGATGTTGAAACGGAAATGGCTATGAAAATTGAATTTTTCTCTTTCACATAGGCACTGGACGTATGGGCCATGGGAGTCACTCTGTATTGTTTTGTCTACGGAAAGGCAAGTATGCTCAATAGTACTTGCATATTAATGACTTTTTGTAGTACTGTTTTATGCTAATCAAAATAGACTTATTTGGTACCGTATCCTAGCAAACTACCCACAACAAACCAGATGGTTACACCCCATGGAAGCCATGGTAGAGTTGGTAGAGTAGAGAAGGGCCCAGGGCTGGTGGAAACGGGACTTATGTTGTAAATAAGACCAATGCATTTCTCTATTGATCGTTGTTGTTTGCCTCATTTTTCCTCTGGAGACAGTTTTTCCACCAGCACTGCTCTAATTCCTTTATTTCTTACTTTCTCTCTCCTTTCCTCCAGTGCCCGTTTATTGATGACTACATATTGGCTTTGCACAATAAGATAAGAACCAAACCTGTAGAGTTCCAAGAATCGTGAGTACATTTCTTGTCAGCCTCAATTCTAAGAAATTACTGCAAGTAATCCTGTGACTTTTAACACACCGTTCTTTGGGGATAATACATCATTTTCTACAGTTCACTAAATGTCACCTGCACCTAATGAAACAAATGTGTTGGCTGTGTGGGTACGGTCAACCTCCATTATTTCATGCATCTTGCCTTGACCCAGAAGGTTACAGAAAATATCTAAGGTCTGCTGAGCTGTATCACAAAAACATATGTTCCAACCATAGACTGTAAATCCAGCAGCCCTTCAACTGATTCATTTAATTTGAAAGATTATTGAGGACAGTCTCTGAATCCGCTGACTGTTATGATCTTGCTCTCTCTGTAAACCAATAGAGCTCTATATCCTGTGGACATTATCGATAATGGTTCAAGTCTAAAGTAGAGTGCATAACTATCAGCTGTGAGTGCCCACAAAGTTATTTTAAAATAAAATACTTTTAAGGCGATTAGTGGCTGATCAATTGTGATGTATTTGGAGGCTGTCATTCCACTTGTCTTATCCAACTGTTTGAAATGAGTGACTACGACCCTGTGTACAGTAGATTCTGGATGGGCCGACAGCCTGTAAAAGGCCATGTCGAGAGACAAAATACCAGTTTTTGAGGATTATAGCTTGGTTAGAATGTTTACAGTACGGCTGAGGTGACTATAGACTTGTCGTGTTGGTAATGGACGTACATGAAGATGTAATATTTTTTGAGTTTATATAGATATCATACTTTAGCTTCTTGATATTTTTGTTTTCTTTATAGACCTGAACTCAGTGAGGAGCTGCGGACTCTGATCTTGCGGATGTTGGACAAGAACCCTGACACTAGAATCACTCTTCCTGAAATTAAGGTTTGAAATGCAGACAATTTAGATATAGTCCAGATTATTACATGTTTATACACGCCAAAGGGATCCTGTGTCATACAAGATCACTGTAAGGTCCTCTGGGTGTAAGCATAAGCCCCCGCTGCTGTGCGACATGAGGAAACATGCATGTCCCAGCAGAGCTCAGGCAGGAGCATGACTCACTCTGCATTTGTGACACATGCCGATCCCATTACCACCCGGACACAGCCCTTTTCATCCTGTGTTTCCAGGAAATCACTCTTTTTGACCCAGAGGCTCTGTGTTGGAGCATCCAATAATTGGGAACCTTTCCTTTCTTAAGTTCAAAATGATAAGATTTCACATCTGGAATTAAAGACAATAAGTTCTACATTTATTTCATAATGTCTTCTTTATATTAAGACCTTTGATGTTCTAATATACAAAGATTAAAATAAGCTGAAGCTTAGTTACTTCATCAGAGGTGATGAGTGAAGGTGACACTCGTAGGTTCTGTCGGGTCTGTCTTCTCTCGAGAACTGAGTATCTCGCCGTAACAGATAATTTTTTTGTGTGAGGTGTAGTGTAAATTATTGCCACTTCATGGTCTTAATGTGGAACTGCAAACTCACTTCAACACAGAAATAATGTATAATATCTGGCCATTTACATATCATATTTAAAGAAATGGGCGGCACGGTGGCTGAGTGGATAGCACTCTCGCCTCTCAGCAAGAAGGTCCTGGGTTCGAATCCCGGTTGGACCAGGGCCTTTCTGAGTGGAGTTTGCATGTTCTCCCCGTGTCGGCGTAGGTTTCCTCCGGGTGCTCCGGTTTCCCCTACCACTAAAAATATGTACAATAGGTCTGGCATGTGCCTCCTGTACTGGCGACCCCCACTCCCAAAAATAACAATTGTAAACCGCTTTGAGACTCCGATGTGCAGTGAAAAGGCGGTATATAAATAAAGATAAAAAAAAAAAAAAAAAAAAATTCTAAAACTGATATTTCACCAGCCTTTTTAAAATGTCTCCAACAGGCACCCCTGGATTAGACTTTAGTCTGCTATAGTCCGGGGTTCATAATTATTGATTATGATTATCATGATTTTACTCACCTCAGTATCGATATGAATAAGATACTTAGAGTACTTGGAGTTGTTGAATTTAAAACATTAGATTAGTGGGTAAATGAAAAGGGAGAACCTTAATGGTTAGGTCTATAAGCACCAAACATCATCACAGCACCAACGTCATGACGTTGTTTCAAGAGCAAACAATGTTCCAGTCTCTGAAGAGTCTTCAGAAAACACGACGTGTTAAATCGATATGGTGGAAAGAAACTATCTTTCAAAGACGCATAGACAAAGGGTGTGTGATGCATTATGTTGAAGCTTTGCTATGACTTTTAGATTAGTGCTGGAATAAATGGCTCTTTCATTCATAAATCAATGCCAGCTGTGCCTGCTGCCTGATACATGGGAGCGAAATACAATGGCTGACTATTATCTAAAGTTATTCTGCCAAACAGTTCAAATTTTTATGTTTTTAAGGAAGACAGAACATACTTCATACAAGTCATTTTATTTTTTAACAGTGGATCAGTTTATATTTCAGCTCATTTATATGTTAGATATTGTTATTAAATAATGTAATAAGAGTTTGCACTTTTGTGGTGATCCTCAAGGAATATATTTACGGATGATTGTGTTTTAGTTCAGGAGTAAAGTTTAGGTGTCGCTGGAGCTTGTTGTTCACCACTTTGGCCGCTATTGTCTCTTCTCTTTGGTTCAGATGGATCAGTGGGTGACCCGCAGTGGGACTGAACCACTGCCTTTGGAGGAGGAGCATTGTACTGTGGTGGAGGTGACGGAGGAAGACATCCAGAACTCTGTCAAGTTTGTGCCCAGCCTCTCTGCGATGGTAAGAGAAGAGCTTTCAACAAGACACAATCTACCACACACTGTAAAAGGGCTCATTATAGCGGGCTTCTTATCATTTTTTATTTGAGGGCTTTGTATTTTTTTTGTGGTATAAGCTTTGTTTTGATCATTATGTATTTGAATCTCAGATACCAAGCTGTAAAAAGCTGATTTGTCTGTGTCTTTTAACTCTGGCTTACAGCCCAGCGATGGACTGTAACTGGTATAAAATTCAACCAAATAAAACCCATTTTAATTAAAATGTTGATTTAAATTGTAAAATTAAATTCATTATAAAAAAGATGAATTGGATATATATGAGAATATGTAAAATAGTGCACCTAAAGCAGTGCTCTATCGTGTCATGCAACAGTCTCTTATGTTTTCGGCTGAGAGCGATGTTGGTTTCCACATGTTTAATGTATCTGCAGAAGCATACTCTGTGTTTACCACTAACTCACCGAGCGCTGAATAAAGGAAGGCTCTCCATTTCCAGACAAATATCAATTAGAAATTGAACATATATTTGTTCCAATGTTTCAGATTTTGGTGAAGGCAATGCTAAGGAAGCGCTCGTTCAGTAATCCGTTTGAGTGTCCAAGCAGACGAGAAGAGCGGTCGATGTCCGCACCTGGGAGCCTTCTCATGTAAGTACACAATGTCCAGGGACCCATCTGGCTCTCCACCTCCAGACAAGCACAAACACAACCCACTGATCCAATCATCACTGAGCTGCCTCCGATTGTGCCTTGAACAATGCTTCACACTTCCTGCTGTATCAGATTAACTACACCAATAGCAGTTGCTTTTTGTTGCCATAGCACCATTATTCATTCTTTAATTGTTTGCTCCTGGGCTTACCTCTTCTTATAAGTGTCGCTCACTGCTTTAACAATAATGCACCGGTTTTATATAGCGCTTTTTTGGACACTCAAAGACGCTTGACGTGTCATTATTCTTTCACTTCATACATGGTGGTGATAAACTACTACTGTAGCCACAGCTGCCCTGGGGCACACTGACAGAAGCGAGGCAACCAGTATATTTCACCAGCCCCTCCTGACCACCACCAACGATTAACAAACACACACAGAAACACACACACACACGAGACTCATTCTAGACGATACGGGTGAAGTGTCTTCTCTAAGGACTCTACAGTACTTCACAGTACTTGTGGGATCCGGCTTTCACATGCAGGTATGGCCACAGGCTTTTTAAAAGCTTAGATGCATATGGGAACATTGGAAATCTGACTGTAAGGCAGAAGTGACCTTGGTTATCTGCTTGCACCAAATGTATTAATTAAGAATTGTGTTGTCTTGTGTTGATTCCCCTATGAACAAATTATTTGTATGTTGGATTCTTGGTTATTGAGGATTTTCATCTTCTGCATCAGGTTACTCGGGGTGAATTGTTGTTATCGTATAAACAACACTGACCCCTGCTGGACAAAAATAAATTGATGATTTCCGTCAAACCATTCATGAACTTGAGAGCTTGTTAATAAATAATTGTGTATAGTCTCAAGCATCTCACATTAAAGTATTTCTTAAAGGGCAGGAAAAGGACGTAACTCGGTAACAGCCGTGTCCTTTGGCCTATTGCATGTGACCTGTTCATCTTCTTCCCCACTTGCTGCAGGGATTCATGGCCTTTCCGGCCATCTTTAAAACTGCACCCTTCATTAAGGTAACCTACGAGCCCTTCATGTGGCAGTTTGGTCATGTTCAGTATCAACATCTGCTTTCATCTTGCTTTTGTCTTTTGTTTAAATAATGCCAAGTGTGTGTCGCCGTTGTCCCCATGAAAAAGAAAATTACAAATATATTTTAGCCATCATCAGTAGAAGCTGGTTGCTATGAGTGATGATTATCCTGAAATGAGAGATTGACTTGTTACCTGTTTGCAGAAAGACCAGTACGGGAGACGGCCCTCGAGAAGGGGAGCTGGAGGACCTTCATGAAGACGAACCTTCGTCTTGAGCCTTAATGAGTCTTGAGTGGCTTGGTCTGACTCTGCTTCCCCTTTAAAACATGTTGCTCGTACCACTGTGCTCTCATCAACACATTTGTAAACGACAGACACTTCATCCTTGTGCTGGCATTTTCCACTCAGGCTTTGTGACCTCGTCATCACAAGATTACCAGGTGTTCTCACTGTCTACATCTTCAAGATCAAGATGGCTGTTTGCATGCTTCCTGTTTGTTCGGCTAAGAAATGTTTCCTTTACAAATGTAGTTTCTTAAATGAAATACAGGGCTTTATTTCGCTATTTGATATTGTACATAGCTCTCTTAAATGATGTGATGTTGTTGTCCTTTTGTTGATTAGGGGCCAGTTACAGAAGTACGTAAATGAAAAGAAAAATCAATACAGGTAAAGAAGGAAAATACTAATAGGGCAATCAAATGTTGTTCAATGTCATTATAATTGTATTGTTCTTTATGCCTGCCTTCTGCATAGGGGATGTGACAAGATTCAACTTGTATATGGAGCTTTCTGAGTGTGTCTTAATTATTTTTCCTGAACAATCATACAGTCACCACACACTTGCTCAACGTATTAGTTATGTTTTGTTGTTACTGGTATAATTTTTCAACATACTACCACGTTATCATTATGTTGGATGAGTGCCATCTCTCAATGCAGTAAAAAGAGTATTATTGGGTCATGGTGATCGGGCAGCAGCTGCAAACATTAAAACGCTTTATTTCCAGTGCTGCTGATTAGAAAATGACATTTTCTCCATCAATCTCAGCCGCTCTGCTCCAGTGGAGGAGGCTGCAGCATGGATACAGAGCGTGTGGACAGATGAATCATAACACTTAACTAGAACTCTCAGAGCAGTCAATTTGACAGCTTTTAGGGAGTATATATGCATTTGTGGTCTTCCTAAGTTACACATTTCTGTTTCTATATGTAGTTTGTTCTACGCCATTATTTTTCATGAAATTATCTCCTACTTTTGAAACGTGAGCAGTTACCTAGCATAGTTACCATAGCAACACACTGTTTACTTGCAGCAGTTCACATTTGTTAGCCTTTCAACAAACTATTTTAGCTGTATTTCAAGTTATATTCAGTCTTAGCTCTTAGTGAAAGTGAATTCAGGTGGAATTATTTTAATTATTTTGTTTTAAACCTGATGGAAAATTAAACTTTTTGGGGGGTATTTCTCGGACTTCCATTGGTTTGAATGGGAGCAGTCAAAATGACTGCTCTGGGAGTTACATAGTATATTTATATTTCTGGAAGTCTTAATCTTTAATCCAGATAACAGACCACTTTTTAGCAAACCTCTTGATTCTGCGCAGAAAAGAGAATGTCTATTGTTCAAGATGGGGAGAATGTAAACACTTGTATGTTTCTAGGATGTATGAATTTATTGCGTTTGATTGTTTTTGGATTATTTTTATTTTATTTTTTTTTAATTATGAAGATGCTGGTAAACTTAAATGAAGGGCTTTTAAAACCAAAAATATGTTTGTTTTATTCATTATGCCAATTGCTTTAACTTTTTGTAACATGTCCAATGGTCATAGTTCATTCCAGTTTGGGTCCCGACAGAGGCTCATAACGCTCGCTCTTCAAACTGTGATTTAACTTAATGTGTCAAATATCTCTGGATGTCTGTGGCTCTTTGTTTGAACTCTATGTAACTGCATGTTGCCGAATATGAATGATGTTTTGACACTGAGATTCGAGACGCTCCGAAAAACTGTTCTGGCTGTTGTTGCATTTCCATAAAACACCAGGAGAAGTTTGATCAGGGGGTATTTATATATATATATATATTATATATATATATATATATTTATATTTATATATATATATATATATATATATATATATATATATATATATATATATATATATATATATATATATATATTTATATATATATATATATATATTTATATATTTATATATATTATATATATATATATATTATTATTTATATATATAATTTATTAGATAGAATGAAATGAGCTGATGAATCACCATCATTGCTGCTCCTATGAACCAGTACTATTTATTGGTCTTACAGTCTACATTACTTTTCTTATTTATTAAGCACTTTACATGGATGTAAACTACATTGCCGACTTTGTTTATCTCGCTTAACCTTTTTGAGGACGGTTAAATTACACACAGCTGGAGTAACTAACTTTTCTGGACTTTGTTTGTCCAACAGAAAGTCTTGTTTAAGTAACACATTGTGAACAAATCCGACCTCGACATTCATCTTTTACATACTGAGAGCTGATTGGCTGAGTGAGGGCGTTCTTCTCTTTTTCACTGAGAAATGTGACAATTTGACCAAATAACTGAAACCATGAATAATTTAATCATTACGCCTCAATGAAGAATAGTCACACGTGTGTATCATGTTTTGCTTCAACTACTTCTGTTTTTGTAATTATAAAAAGGTTAATATGCTATGGCTCACTCTGGAAGGGTTAAGGGGTAATGAATAACTTATATTTGGGTAATGCAACACTCTGATAGTCGTAGGAAAAGGTAAAATGTCTTGCACCTTACTGTTTGCTGGAGGCTTGAATAAAAACCTTCCCTGGTCACTTTGGTTCATCATTATTATTATTATTGAGTCACACACGGTGAGGTCTTGTTGAATTTGAAAAGCTCTTTTCCCTGGTGCAGTTGGAAGTGTGTGTCTACAGAGCCTGTGTAATATTGTCTCTTATGAATGTACTTGTGTGTCTCCATTCAAGCACGTCACTTGTATTTGAATGTCTTGTAAATATGTACCAATATGAAGGATATTTTTGCATGCTTTTGTAGACTATAGGCAGAATAAAAATAGCAGTAAAAAACTATTGTGTCTCTCTTAAAGCCATACACAAAACAATGTTATAATATACAATGCAGATTACTGTTAGTCAGCATAATAATAATAATGCATCGGTTTTATATAGACACTCAAAGATGCTTTACATGTAATTATTCTTTCACTCCATACACGGTGGTGATAAACTACTACTGTAGCCACAGCTGCCCTGGGGCACACTGACAGAAGCCTAAGGTGTTATTTGGCTTCCACAGTGACAACAATAGAATTAATCCAACCGTGGCTTCTGTGAGTGAATTGTCCTTGATCATTCATCCATACAGAGCTTACAGTAAACATATACACCCAAAAAATGACAAACATGGTCACACCCTAAGACTACACAGAATCATCTATTGATGGCTGCATCCTGATAAAGAGAAAGAGCCAGTCCCTGGGGAAAACCTTTTCAAGTTCCTGGACATAAAATCCGGCTCTGTTGGCTTGATATTCTGCGTATAATGGTCCATAGTTCGTGGATTTGTGAGTGGTCTTTGAAGGAGGCTGCAGGCGTTACTCGTGGTGTACCTTCAAAGTGCCTCTGGATTTGGCAAGGACTGCTTTCTTGTCATTTCTGAAAGGAAAACCATATAACAAAAACAATCACCCAAGGCCTGGATTCTAGTTTTAAAATGAGAATGAACCATTTGAAGTTAGTGACGTTGAAATATATTTTCAACATGAAATTAAATTATCTTCCCATCATCTAATTATTTTAATATTGTAATATTTGCAGTGTATTTGGCATTGTACACATTGCCTAGGGACTACAGTTGGAAACTAGCTGTATAGCTACAACTAACACATTTACAGAAATGTTTGTTAACATGTGCTATCCCTATTCAAATAAACTAACAAAAAATAAATGCATAAATTAGCAGTACTCCTCAAATGGATAGATTCAAAAATAAACATTTAAATGTAGTTGTGAAAAGTGTTGGTAATGTGATAATAATATTTCAGGATTATTTGAGTACTTACGTGTGTTTCAGTCTCAGTAGATCCCGCCTCCGAGTCTGGCTCCTGTAGGTCACATGTGTTGGTGATACATTTATTCATAATGAATGAATACATGAAGGTTACACTGCAGCACATGCTCTTTTACTACTTTCATCCAGTGTTTCCTTTTACTGCTACAACTCACGTTGTACCGCCCAGTGTCTTGGACGTGCTCTGCTTTGGCTTCAAGGCCGTAATAGTTGTTTGGTTCTAAATCGAACGAGTCGTTGTCAGGCTGTGGATAGACAATGTCCTGCCTTTTTAGTTACGGACTTTAGTTTTGGCGGGATGATGGTGGAGGAGGATGATGTGGCCGTAATAGTTCTGTTCTCAATTAAATCAAATAGATGAGACATTTCATCTTCTATTCCTTAAATGCAGAAGGCTACAGTTCCATCTGCATTAGTATGCTGCCACCTGCTGTTTACAGAGGACCATGTTCATGGGAATGATGCTTTAAAATGGGAAAAAATAGGAAGTAAGTAAAAGCACAAACCTGTCCGTGTGTATCTGTGTATTTGAATTTCATATTCTTGTAAAACTGTCTTTTTGGTAACAGATACAGTAGTACTAAGTCACACACCACAGTGGCCTGGGGAAAAAAAACATGTATAAGACTGGAGTACGTTCATCTGTGTGATGTTCAGCTACACTCACCACTCCAAAAATTCCCACACCTGAGCCTATAGCGGTTAGGGTAGGAATGACATCAAACTTCCTGGCCTGCAGAGAAAGTCATGGGAACATTCTCTGTGTCTGTAACAGACTACACACACTGACACTTACCAGTGATTGAACAATTATATCAAGACGAATTCCAAACACTTTTAGAAGTGTCCTCTTCTGAACCTTGTCTTCGAAATAATGCCTTGCAAACCTAAAAGCACATTGTATAGAAGTTATGTTCCACAGAATGTAAGTATACATAGTACATATAGTTATTAAGAGGTAGTCCTTATGTGCTCACTTAGAGCTTTATCAGACTGATCAGTATGTAAAGAGTGCAAACATTGTAAACTGGAGGTACACATGGCACAGGCTCTAATGGTGACATAACGCTCTTAGCTGGGTTATTATTGTGAAAAAAGCAAATACACGTAGAGCACTGTTGATGGAGTCAGACCTGAAGTTGTAGCCGACTGATGCTCGAGCCTTGTCCTTCTCATCGGGGTTCCCGTACAGGCCGTGGAAGTTATACTTGGGTTTACAGTGGCGCACATCCAGATCAAAGTTACATGTCCAGTCCACCACAATCCCTATGGCTCCTCCCTGCATATATTATGATTATTATTGTTATTATTAATGCGAATATTGTATACAAAATCAGAGGAACACATACCACTTTTGCTATTGTTTCAAAGTTGAATCCAGAGAGTGATATGATATCTCCCATTTTGAATATTGGGCAGAGAGGAGACTTTTCTGGGTGATAAAGGCATTTACTGATATAATGAGCATCAATACCTTCTACCAGGTTACTCCTGTAATAAACAGACATACACTCAAACCAAATGTGTTTAGTTCCTTTTCCTTAGCCAAGCATTACATACATACAGTATGTCTGATGAATATAACAACACAATAATTATCATCAGCACAAAATTATTAACATCCTCCACAAATGTCTTGCTACATTAGGAAAATATAATGCAAAAGTTAATCCAATACCTTGTGACGCCAAATATAGGAAAAGTTACAGAGTTTTTAATAAAAAGTGTGTAGTTTTCTGCAGACATCAACAATGGAGGTCTGTGCAAAGAGAAACAAAGTCGCATAAACATTTGATATAAGAAGTAGTTAAAGTAAGTACACACTCTGGGATGTGGTGGTCGTCCTCCACGGGGCACCAGGCCAGCACCTCACATGTCTTTGTGGTGTTATCACAGATCCCAGTCATGCTTCCTGACAACACAGTTTGGGAAAGTGAGCTAATAGCACAATTAAGTCTCTCTTTGAGTCTATTTGAGAAGACAAGCATCCAGAGGCTTTAACAGAGCATTCCCCAACATGATGTCACTTAAATATGCTTGCACTTTTCAAGCTTTATCTCTTTGCATCGAGAGAAGCGGGCAGTGAGATATGAAGAAAAGCTGATGTCTTTATCTGAACTACTGTAATATATAATCTTCTGCATATAACTTCCTCTTTCATCTCTGTAAATCTGCAGTTCATATTCATATTGTCGTGTGCTCTGGGTTAGCATGAGTGCCAGTTTATTAGAGTCCAGCGTTCTTTGAGCGTGGCTGTGGGGCGCCTGGCCTGTTTACTTGTCTACAGCATAAAAACAGCTCTTTGCCTCTTCAAGCACCTCCAGCTGAACTAGACCATCTCAGTCGGTCACATCTAAGGCTCTGGGAGGTTGAGGCATTATTGAGGCAGATGCTACATCTGATTACTCAATAGGCCTGTAGAAAAAAGACATTTATGTAAGCACAAACTGGCGGAGTGTGTCTGATAAGCTATTTGCATAGTTCACTCATAATAGGATGTACTCTTGTCTTAACCCCTGTGCTAACACGCTACATATGTCAGTGTCTGCTTGCTGAAGGCAGGGCTTGCTCCTATAACCAATAAGTCATAAAATAAACAAAAGCTCAGACTTGGTTGCCTGTTAATCCTAACCTCCTCTTACTACTTTCTGAATAAAGAAACATGTCTAAATGTTTGCCTTAAAAGTAAAAGTCACAGAAGCCTCAGTGTTTATTAATTCAACCTCTTTAAACTACTGTAAAGACTTCAGGGACAGAGTTTGCCATTCAGCATTCTCATCCTATACGATCTATAGCTTTATCAATTTCATTTTGAAAATCCTTTGACTCCGAAAACAGTATATTCAGATTATACACATTTATTTTTGTGTTCAATATATAATACAACACTTTTTAAACATTATTATATACTGTTTACAAAGTAGAGCGGGGTAAATATTAGGCCAATAGAATTTACCGTGTCCCGTACGTTTGAAACTCCCTCCTTCACAGTCGGTGTTTGAAGTACAGTTGTGCTTACCAGGGAGCTAAAAGAACATAGAAATGAGTGTAAATTATGTTTTGCTGGTCTGGTAAGTAAGAATGTAAGTACAGTGGTGTCTTGCAAAAGTATTCAGTCCCTCTGAGACATAAAACAGCTCAAGTCTGTTACCCATTATGTAGACATGATTGTTATCCAAGATGATCCTGCATTTGTTTTAAAACTAAAGACATTAAATGCACAGAAACAGTGGCTTTTTCAAGGCACTGTAAATCATATTTATTTATTGGTCTTTTCACTGAGGGTACAAAGATTGTTGTTTCTATAGACTTTTTATGTTTCCTAAACCCATAGTGTAGTGTTTAAAATCACAATATTCTATAACTCAAGTTTTACCCACAATAAACAAAAAAATGGCTCCTGCTGGTGCCTAGAGTCAGGACTAAACATGCATCAGATTTATGCAGCTAAAATCTGGAACAGTCTCCTCTGACAATGTTCAAATCCAGGTGAAAGACGGATGTTTGCCTGTGCATAAAACTGAAGGATTATATCTATATAATCCCTTGTGTGATTTTCATGTTTTAATGGTTTTAATTACCCGTGTGATTATAATTGTGTTTTTAATGGTGATTTTGGTGTTTGTTTTATGTGATGATTTGTGCCTTGGGACCTTGGCTGATGTGGACTATGAAGCACTTCTCTGTGTTAGAAAAGCGCTCTACAAATAAAGATTGATTGATACTGCTTAAAAATAATGAGGCTAAGATACATAGTCACTAATATTTACAACACAATTTTTCCATTACTTATATTAATTAAGATTATATGCCAATATAGAACATAATTTAAAATACACACTAATTACTAAAGCTGGAAAATAATCCAATAGTATAATCCTAAACATGCAACAGCTACATAATTAGAAGCAAAGTTATTAATGGCTTTTTATAGAACACAAAAATGGCCAATTATACAAACAGTTGTGGAATGAGGCAGTTTCCGTTCAACGTGACTATTTATGGCAGCAGTTGTTCTGCATCAGAGTAACAGAATCCAAATACCTCTGGACACTTTCCCAACGACTGGCCTTCTGTTATGATGTAATTGGTCATCACCACGAACGAAGCGTCGCCCTGTGTGGAGCGGTGCGAGACAAGAGACAGAAAGGTTCCATCATTTAGTTTAGTTAGTAAGTTTAGATGAAGTAACATTAGCACTCATTTACAGTACTTTGTTCTCATTTAGAATCTCACTGATTTAGGTAGTGGTGATCCTAGGATTATTCTCCTCTTTCTTTCCTGGTCACAAACATTAGAATGTTGTTTTATGTGCTGAACTTCCCATGTCTTGTGTTTATCATTACAGTTAATGTGCCAAAGCCTTTCAGACACACACCTTTCAGAACAAACATGGCGATCATCAATACGTTACAACGCATCATGAAGCTCTCTTGTCCTGATGCTAATAGTTACAATGATCATTTACTACATGTTTGTAAAAAAAAAAAAAGTTTGCTAAACTTTCCTGGCATCTGTGATGTGAAGATGTACTGAAAAAAGAAAAACAGATATTATTGTGGAAAACATTTGTGTGAAACTGTAATTTAGTATTTTTCTAATTACGTCTGCATAATGTGCTTTAAATGTGCGTATTGTTGATGTTATATAATACTGTAGTAATACTACAGTAGTAGTATAATACTGTTATCTTCACAGTAGTTTCCCTTCACTACTATTATACTTAACCTTTCGTGACTGTTGTATTTGATGTTTGAACATGCGGTTCCGCCATTCACACAAGAGACATCATGTCCTGTTTGAACTTGAGCCTCGTCACCTCCCGCCTCGACTATTGTAACTCCCTCCTGTTCGGTCTCCCTCAAAAAACCCTCCATAAACTCCAACTGGTCCAAAATACTGCTGCCCGTCTCATCACACACACCTCCTCCATCAACCACATCACCCCTGTCCTCCAACAGCTCCACTGGCTCCCCATCACTCACCGTATCCAATACAAAATCCTGCTCCTCACATTCAAAGCCATCCACAACCTTGCTCCTCCATACCTGAATGACCTCCTCCAAATCTCCACACCTGCCCGCTCCCTCCGCTCCTCCTCCTCTCTCCAGCTCCTGGTCCCTCTTGCCCGCCTCGTCACCATGGGGAGTAGAGCCTTCAGCCGCTCTGCTCCCCAGCTCTGGAACACTCTCCCCCTGACCTCCATAACACCGACTCACTCACATTCTTCAAATTCACCCTCAAAACTCATCTGTTTAGACAAGCCTACTCACTAACATAACCACACTCTCCTCTGTCCATGATACGTTTAACTTTGTATTTTAACTGTTTTTAAAATGCACTTTTTTTACTTGTATGTACGGCGACCTTGAGTGTCAAGAAAGGCGCCTACGAAATAAAATGTATTATTATTATTATTAACTTCTTCTCGAGGAGACGTCTATCCTGCTGCTTCACATTAGACAGATTTGATTTTTTTCAACAATTATAAGGTAACAGACAACATTGTTGAGTCATTATTGAGTCAGTGACCGGTTCACTTGTGTTTCTCGGGCCACACTGTGATCGAGGGAAGAGCCACAGATGGTACTATACACATAAACCATCATTTAGTTTTATACTAAACATATGTGTTTGTAAAGTACTTCCTGTGCATCACCTGCAAGGGAAAGCCTTATCCCAGCAGATCTCAGAAGCAAAGCAGGGCAGAGGCTGGTTGGTACTGTGATGGGAGACCTCTGAGAACATGTGCCGCAGTGGGGCAGCTGCAAAGTGACAAACTTTCTTTGTGTCATTAGACAAGACGAGCGTCCAGAACAGTGCAACATAAAATAAATGTTTCATTATTATAATGCTCCACCGCAAAAAGGTTGTGGTTTGGATTCTGTGTCGACCTGGGCCTTTCTGTGTGAAGTTGTTGTGTTTCTCCTTTTGCCTGTCTGGGTTTCCTTCGAGCGCCCGGGTTCCTCCACTACCCTAAACATGCAGAAGTATGAATATTGTGACTACAGAGTGGCTGCAGAGTGGGTGCCTCGCTTCTGTTAGTCTGCCCCAAGGCCGGCTGTAGCTTCAGTAGTTTACCACTGCCATGTACAAAGTGCATGAAAAGTGACTTCAGTGCAGTACTTTGAGAGGTTTCAACAAGCTTTACATGTGCCAAACATTATTATTATTAGTATTATTATTATTATTGTGGACCAATTCACCCTTGGACTTCTGCGTTGGGAATGTGTGACTCATTCTGATGCGCACACGTTCTGACTGTTTGAACATTTGACCCACATTTATCTTAATCCTCAAACCTGCCATCAGCTTGGGGTTAATTAGCTGCCGTCATATGACAACGTTTACATTCACTGACCTGCGGTGGGAACACATAGTCGGCCACATCCCAGACCTTCTCCACTCCCTCCACATTGGTGTAGCCCACTCCTTTCATCTTGGTGAAGACTGAGCTAACTGCGGTGTCGGTGGACTGGTAGCCTTTTTCATAGATGAACACCCACCTACAAAGGGCACAAATGTCTAATGTAAGGGCTGTCAGCTCACACATTCTGCCCATCACTACACACTCCACAGGCAAGGACATGCAGAGGTGCCTGGCATGTCCAGCATCACTCACACTTTGTCTTTTTTTGTTATTAAATGTCATTGTGGAAAACTTTTGTAAGGACAAATGCCCGGTCAATTGTCACAACACATACTGTAAGGAGCAGAGTTTAGACAGTGTGAAGTGATAGAGCAGCACTGAGAATGTAGGGAAATGGAATGTGTCCTGTTCTTTATTTACAATAAAGAACCATTTTTCACCCTGTGACAGTGGCTCAGTTGGTAGAGCATTGGCCTTTGAGCCTTTGAAGGTTGTGGGTTCGAGTCCACCGGAAGACCTTCTCCACTGACTGGCATGTCCTTGGGAAAGACACGCCGCATGCCTAAATGCATATGTGTATAATCATCAACCAAAAATTGCCCAACTGTGGGACAAATGAAGGATGATCTTTCTTTATTAAAAAATTGTCACCTATTTTAGTGATCGGATACATGTTAACTAGCAGTACTTCAATGAGTGTGTGTTGTCATTTGAGCAACTAGTTGTTCAATATTGTAACTAATTAGATAATAATGAATTAGATCCAGACCAAGTTGCATATTTCCCATAATTGCACATTTGTTCTCACGCGATTAACAAACAAAATCATTATAGTTAAAAGCAACTTAGAGATTTCTGCTTCTGAAACAAAGTTGAAACAAAACTGAACCTGATGTCACTCAACCATAACCACCGTAGCTTTGCTTCAGCACGATTAGAATTTGCCTTTTGGTGAATGTTATTTTAAACAATAAAATGTGTATTTGATGTTTGCACATGCAACGCCTTCAGACGAAGAGACATCATGTCAAACAGCTTTAGTTATTGACTAAAGGCAAGTGTGTCAAAGTTACATCAGTTACATTTTTACATCAGCAATAAAAAGACATAATTTCATTAATTGACCTTTACGTATGTCTCCATCAAGTCCCACTGAGATTTCAGAACCTCTTTTTCAGGGGAACCCTAGCCCCAGACAGAGGTATGACATTACAGGGGCTATAGCACATATTTTTAGTGATGAAACCTACGCAGTCACAGGGAGAACATGCAAACTCCACACAGAGGGCTTTCTTGCTGAGAAGCGAGAGTGCAAGCCATTCAGCCTTGTAATACAGATACACAATATTTTCATCCAGTATTATGGTACTATTTCATAGCAATCTGCAAATGCTGTCTATTAGGATGAGTGATAAAGCTCATATGTATGTACAGGTATATCCTGAACAACCCATTTAACATTGGGGCTGGATCCTTGTGCAATTCTCGGGTCAAAATGACCCGCCTTAGTGATTAAAAAAAGAAAAATACCCGAATTAGGGTCTGGAAGGGTTTAAATGACCCAGGGCTGGTCAAGTTATGAAACATCATCAAAATTGAGCTCAGAAACAAATTATTTATGCTATTTTTGAATCACTGCTGTGGGTCAATGTGATCCGAGGATGGGACAAATTGTCAACATGTTTCTTAGTTGTAGTGTTTTTCTCTGCACAGTGCAGTCTGCAGGTAATTATGAAACAGTGCTTTTTAGTAATTTTTGAGAAAGTTCCATATATTTGTCTCAATTTGGTTATAAAGCATTACACAAGTGTAGGTAGTTATAAACATCTACTTTTGTCATCGTGAACGTTAAATCATTATTAAATTTGTGTCCCATACTTGTCTGCCTCTGGGACTCTGGGACTTGCAGACACGGATAAGTCAAAATATAACTAAGGCTTTTTATGGCGTTAAAAGCAATTAGCACATCACATGCAACACATTCATTCAGTCATCAAAAGTACAATGACAAGAAACAGAGAAATGCACCAGCTGTACTTCTATCACTTGTGCAAATCAAATTATCCCGTGCCAGAGCTTATAGCAACACATTCAAAGAGAAGAGAGAGCAAAAATGGAGCATGTTAATGAAAAAAAAGCGTGAAGTGAAATGGCGTGTGCTTCCCAAACAGCCAGCTCAGAAAGATGACTATCAGCAACTCTAGGAACAGTGCGCTCAAGGCCCTCTCTGCACTTGTGCCACAGTGGACCAAAACTGGAATTCAAAAACATATAGAAACAATAGTGTGCGCTTAAAAAAAAATACTGCGGAAAATGGGGAATAATGAAAAGCTTTGTTGTCTTAATAGGGCTGCGGTGGTGAGATAATGGCAGTAGTCAGAATGAAAATGTAAGAATGTCTAATTAACATCAGCACTGGAGGAATGTGACAAATGAAGAAGATGCGCTGAATGCAGCAAGTTGTTTTTCTTGTTATTGGTGCCGTTTTGGGCACTCTGACACCTCTTTTGACGTACTGTCGGATACCCATGAATTGTTTATATACAATTTATTTTTTTCATATTGCAGGTGGCTTTTTGATCATTTTTCTTTATGATAGGTAGAAATTTATGAAAAAAATCCTAAAAATCTGTATTTGTATGACTTGTATGACTTACGTAACATCATTCTAATGCAAATGTTTTTCAAAACAGAGCTTTTTAATGTTAAACAAAACGTATCATCCAATCAGACCAATTCAACAACTGATACGTCCATATTTTAAGAGCATAGTTAACAGGTTGGAACAAAATCAGCCTTTTTCTACTGCACTTTCGTACCATTACTTGTAAATTAGGTGTGGAATATAGCCAAATATATGGAAGACTTTTAACCCTAACCCTAAAGTCAGACAGTTTCGAGGTGCATGACTCCATATCTGCTATGTAATCTCATGTTCTTTGCTGCCAATCACATGTCGTCTAATGTGGCTGGACATGGCCGAACCACAAGTGATAGTGGGACATATCGCACACACACACACACACACCACACACCACACTATTCTTTTTATCTCGGGAATGACCCCTGCGTTCCACAAAAACACCCAAAGTTCACATCAGCTGAAATCCAAAGTGACGTGCAGAAATCACCAAAGTGAAGAGGCACAAATTTGACACACGCCCAAAATAACAAACAACCAGTGGCCATCCCAACATTGTCACTCAATTTTTAAAATGTTGTCTGCATTATGCTATCGGCGACTTTGGATGTTGCTCAATTGTCCGAGACTATTTGCTTTATCTCCAGCATCACCAGCTGAAGGTGCAAGTCCGTACAGAAGCATGGCAGTGAATTGGGCAGCACTTTGATTGTAATATGAGTTAACATATGCCTCTGCTTGTTCATCTCACACACCTCCTCAGGTCTTACCAGAGCTACAGTACAACACAAAGATGTCCTAATAAACTGCAATGTTTCCCTACGTAATAATACCAGCATTTCTTCACAAGATGATGCTTTTTTCCTCTTAACAGCCAGCGTTATCTGTCAGCACATGTCACCACTTGCAAAACTATGTGGGTTTTTTTTTTTGTTGCAAGTATGCCTCCAGAATCAATGGCATCCTTGCGTCTTGTCAAATGAGAATTCCACAGGAGCATGTGGCATAGATTATGCTGAAACAGTGTCACATGGAGGTCATATAAACCCCACCACAATGCAACAACCATCTAAACAACTATTCTATGTGCAAAATAAGACAAACTTACCCAATGATATATGCCAGAACTCCAAGCTGAATCAACCGGCACACCACTCCCACTCTCCTGTTCCTCACCAGCACCTGACGTGGGGTCTCATACTCAAAGAAGAAGTCTGAAATGGCATTTGTAATTTTGTTTCTCATTTTCTCCATTGACCCTTTCAGGAATCAGGGTCAATCTTGTAGCTTTATAGTTGCATGCACAATAATTGTGTCTGTCAGCTCCTCTGGGACTTGTGTGTGTGTGTTGCCTCCCTCTCTTATGAGAAAAAAGGTCCTGCCTCTGCTTACACTCAGAAGAAGTCAGCAACGAAGGACTTTTAAATCCCCTCCCACAGTGTAAGCCCTCCCTCCTCTGTCACTGAGATCTGTCTCCCATAGACTATCCAAACTATCCCGCTTTGTCACACTCACAATACAGCCCCGGTTTAGAAGTTTTTGTCTAAAATTAGGTAACAGGATGATTTAGCACATAACCTAAACCACCCACGCTTTGTCTTATCAATTTGGCTTGAGACGCTCTTCCTGTGTGGTAAATACAGATAGACTGCACTCAGGCCATGACACAAACAAACACAATATGCGCAGCTCCTCTCATCATGTCACCGTTTTGCAAACGTTAAGCCTTCTTACGATTTATCACCATTTTGGGTACACAGGCGAACGGAGTGCAAGCTTTTCCTCGCCCAATGCTCATAGCGTCTTTGCATTCATAATCTGTACCTTCACAGAGAGGTGAAGTACGTAACAGTAACATTTAAATATATCTGTTGCATTTTATATGTGAGAAAATATGTTTCAAAGAGACCCTCTTAATCTGCACAGATTATACAACATATTGCTATTTAATATCTAAATCGGGTTATGTGCAAAAACACAGTGAGTGGCCAGCGTTGCATGTTCTTAGTAGGATTGCAGGATTGTAAGGATTTTGCAAAATCAATCAAATCAACTGTCTCCATTCAGAAATAGATTCCACACAAAAAGTAATAATGTTTTGTTTTAAAGTGTTCACACAATGAAATTAAACTATTTTAAGACATTACTCCACGTTGGGAAAAAGTACCCCAGAGTGCCCAGTGTTGTTTGGTGTGCCTTTGAAAACGATCCAATATCACCTCAAAGGTCAGAATAATGTGAAAAGGAAATACTGGGATGCGATTAGAAAGACTATTTTTTCTCTTGTTTGATTTTCTATATGGTACAATTTGTATCAGTTTCAGCTGATAGTGTAACGTGTGATTGTTCAATGGAAAAGGTGTGCCATGGCTCAAAAAGTTGGGGGAACACGGCTCTAAACTAAAGAGAGGAGGGAGACCAGACAGAGCCAAATAATGTGACTGTTGCAGGTCGACACTAGGGTAAAGACCATGGACTATGGTCAAATTGCACTGAGCTCTCTGAAGAATTGCTTGGGGGCATAGAGGGCGCATCCAAGAGAATCGTTTGTACCATAAATGAATTAAACCTCTTACACAAAGGTATTTGAATAGACCAGACTACAATCCCCAATGCTATAATAAAACAAACAACTCAGTCCATGTTCCTCGAATGACTTTTCAAAAGTAAAGGTTGAGTTGGCACTGATACTGCAGCCTTGAAATTAGGGACCCTCAGGGTAAGAAGGAGCGCTACCGCAGGGCCTTTATCCCCACCGCTGTCAGACTGTACAATAAGTCACTTGAAGTCACTGTATAAGACTGAAAAAACCTGCACTACTATTGACACTATTTCTGATTGCCACTTTTAAACTGCCACCTTTTTTATTGTGCATAATATATCCCACATTTAACATGCTTGCACATTTCCTCTCTTTTTGCACAATCTTGAGTGTTTTTATCCATGCCAACGTGACATGTACATTTCTCCTTTGTGAGATAAATAAAGCATAAAGGATATCTTCACTTTGACTTGTCTGTTTAATTTGGCTTGTTTGCAGTTGTTTGGGCCATATATGTTACAAGTAATTAAATAAGTATGCCCTCAATGTTAATATAATCCACCTACCTTCATCTGAGAATATTTTTTTTATTATCACCATTGAATGTGTTTACTATTGCAGCGCTTGCAGAGTCCCGCACTGCTTGAATGAGTTTCGTGTAGTTGTCTAATGGAAAGACAAAGAGCCTTCCTTTTGAAATGGTCACGTATTCCTCTTACATGAAGATAGATTTAAAGAATCAAATAGGTTAAACAAAAATGCTGTCCTTTTTTTTTTGTTTTTTTTCCGTGAGGGTTGGTTTGACGCAATGACGTCAAACAGTTGCGCCGAAGTTTTTACCACGTGGTAAGATTTTTGTCTTGGAGCAAAACAACCGCAGAGAGGCTCCCTCGGGCTCGTTTTGTCAGTGAGAACATGAGACAACTTTCTGCAGTTGTCTGCAACAGCGAAGCCCACGAAGCCGCTCCGGTCTGACTCGTATTGCTCTGCTCTCCGGACCATGCCCCACGACCCTGATCGTCCTCCGGCTAAAAGGTTCAAGCCGGGGTCCGTTCTTTTCAGTCTTAACCAAAGGAAACCTGGGATGCTGCTGCCCAGAAAAGGAAATGCCAGCACGCCTTTAGACGTCCAAAGAAAACAGCTGCCAATTTACCAGGCTAAACCTCAGCTACTCAACCACCTGAGACAGCTTCACAATGCCATCTTAATTGGTACGACACGCGAGCTAGCGACAAGAGTACATGCTAACCAGTGCTACTTCCACATGACTGTGTGATCATTTCACAAATACTTTTATTTTATTTTACTTTGCATGAAAACATACGTCTTCCCGCCAATGTGTATATATGCAAATTACGTGTGTTATGTGTGTAGTAATAACTAATAATACAACCACATACAAAGTCAGTGTTTATGTTGTTTTTGTCAAGGTAATTTATGCATTTAACTTATTGAATTGTATTTATTCCCAACACAGGTGAGACTGGTTCTGGAAAAACTACTCAGATTCCACAGTACCTATATGAGGCTGGTATTGGGCGACAGGGCATCATTGCTATCACACAACCTCGGAGAGTTGCTGCTATTTCACTAGCAGCAAGGGTTGCGGAGGAGAGGAGAACTCAACTTGGAAAACTGGTTATACATTTTGTTTTTCTCATAGTTAGCACCGTGTTCTCATTTGAAGTTTGAGTTTGCTTTGAGACTATTTTAGTTGTTTGTTTGTTTTTTCAGGTGGGTTATACTGTCCGCTTTGAAGATCTAACATCATTTGAGACCAAGATAAAATTTATGACTGATGGCATGCTACTTCGAGAAGCCATTGGAGACCCCTTACTTCTACGTTACACAGTGGTGATTTTAGATGAGGCTCACGAGCGCACAGTGCACACTGATGTGCTGTTTGGGGTTGTGAAGACTGCTCAGAGACGCCGCAAAGAGTTGAGCAAAATGCCACTGAAGGTACAATAAATGACTCACTGGCTTTATAGTGATAGTTGAATTTGATGTATTTGATCTGTTGTAATGTGCTTATTTCTGTATATACCAGGTCTTAGTCATGTCAGCTACTATGGATGTGGATCTATTTTCTGAATACTTTAACAAGTCTCCTGTGCTCTACCTGGAGGGAAGGCAACATCCCATTGAGATTTTCTACACAAAACAATCACAGTCAGACTATCTTCAAGCTGCACTGGTCACCATCTTTCAAATACATCAGGTAGACATTTTAGAAACCTTTTCCGTATGGCAGGGCATGCACTTCCTGTAGATTGTAAATAATTGTAATCAATTACCAAATTGTATATGGTATATGTGTTATTTCTTTTGACACGTACATCTATATAACTTTCTCAATCATTTGCAGGAAGCACTACCCTCCCAAGATATTTTGGTTTTCATGACAGGCCAAGAAGAAATTGAGGCTCTTGCCAGAACATGCAGAGATATTGCCAAGCACCTTCCTGACGGCTGTTGTCCTATGATTGTCATCCCTCTTTATGCATCCCTGCCACCAGTGCAGCAGCTCAGGGTTTTCCAGCCTGCTCCCAAGGTGAAGATGCATTCTACATAATCCAGCCCTTCGAGGGAACACACAAATACCAGAAAACAGATTATTCACATGCTAGATTATATCATTTATAACTTGTGCTGTACTTTTAGGGAAGTAGAAAGGTTATTTTGTCAACAAACATTGCTGAAACTTCAGTTACAATCTCTGGGATCAAATATGTTATAGACACTGGCATGGTAAAGGCAAAGCGCTTCAACCCTGGTAAACCCGTTCTAAGTGCATGAAATACTAAAATAAAGTTGTGCTTTAAAGTGCTTATTTTTTGCATTGTACTGTGTTTTCAGAGAGTGGTCTAGAGGTGTTAGCTGTGCAGAGAGTTTCAAAAGCCCAGGCGTGGCAGCGGACAGGGCGGGCTGGTAGAGAAGACTCTGGCTTCTGCTATCGCCTCTACACTGAGGACGAGTTTGATAATCTTATCCCCATGACAGTGCCTGAGATTCAAAGGTAGACTAGCATATTGTTGAATTGTAATTTCAAGGCTGAGGGAATGTCTTCAGTGAATATATTTTCACAACATAGAATCAGTTCTTGTTCAGCAGTGTTATATATTCTCAACTCCATGCCCATTTTTCTGTGTGAACTGCAGGTGTAACTTGGCAGGGGTAATGCTTCAACTTATGGCGTTGGGCGTTCCAGATGTGATGAATTTTGATTTCATGTCGAAACCTTCATCAGGTAACACTTTGTCCATTTAAAGGCTCACTATAGACAGTATCGTGACTCGTGTTGTGGTGAGGGTTCTGCCCTTGCCTTGTCTTAACATACTATTGTACACATTTTAAATAGTTCTAATGTCTGGATTTCCTAAATTGAGCTCCGTTAACAGTAGGGGTGGGAACCTAAGGGTACCTCACGATACGATACGATACACGATATTATCACGATAAAGATTATCGATATATTGGTCAGAAATATACAATATGCCAATTTATGGCATAAATAAAAGAAAAATACACTTTATTTCATGATAATTGATATGGAGATGCGTAATGTAGCCATATTTTAAGTATCGATAGCAATTTTTATTTATTTTTTTATGTAAAAAATAAAATAAATAAAATAAAAAATCGATATTGATACTTGGCAAATGCATATCGATAATCAAATCGCAGGAGAAAGTATCGCGATATATCGTCACACCCCTAGTTAACAGGTGGGATGGGTTAACTGCTTTTGCAGATTGAAACGATGGGATCTGAGTTTGCCCTGGCGTATGTAATGCGCCCGATTGAGTGAGGCATTTAGCATTTAGCTTAAGTTTAGCCATCTTCTTTGCCACTAATGGAGCCCAAAGGGAGTAGAGCCACAACATCTTTGCCAGCATTAAAATTTGCTATACATTCTTCTTGCTCCCGCTTCAATGTCTTGATATTTTGGGAGCTGAACCAGAACAGATTACTTTACTATCGCATTCGCCGCCATTGTCTAACTACAACCAGCAAATGCGGCGCAAACTTTTGACGTCACCGACACCTACCTACAACAGCCGCCTCCCCCGCTCACTGAATGGTCGAATCGGATACAACCGAGCTAACAGGAACCACTTATGTAGTAACATATCCATGTTGTTTTTGTGTGCAGAGGCTGTTTCTTCTGCTGTGGAGCATTTGGAGTTGTTGGGCGCACTAGAGAAGAAAAATGGACAAGTTGTTCTCACTGCTCTGGGGAAGAAAATGGCCAGCTTTCCTCTGGAGCCAAGATATGCAAAAGTAATTAACTTTTATCCATGCCCAGATCAAAGGCTTCATAAAATGTACAATATATTTATTGAGGTTTGTCAATTAAGCTTGACTGCAGAGAAGCTGTTATTTCAGATAGGCATTAGTTTCAGTTCAGTTTATTACAAATATACAGTAAAAACATCAGATTCAGACTACTTTATTTATCCCATTTGTTTAAGCGGCACAGGGCATACAAAAAATCATAAAAACACAGGATAGATTATTTCGGATAGATAGAAAGACGTTTGTAAATGGGACACTAAGCAATATTTAGTTTTACAACAGTTACATTGATTTACCAGTGCTGCTTCTGATTTTTTTCATACGTCTGACCTTTCAGGCAATTCTACTGTCTCCAGACTTCTCTTGTTCAGAAGAAGTCATCTGCATCGTTTCCTTACTGTCAGTGGACACTGTGCTGTACAACCCTCCAGCTCGACGAGATGAGGTGTTGGCTGCTCGGAAGAAGTTCACCTCCAGTGAAGGAGATCACATAACTTTACTTAGTATTTACAGGGCCTTCAAGAAAGTCAGTGGCAACAAGGTGTGTTCTAGCACGAGAGCCTCACAAAATCTGATAAAACTGGCCATTGATTACATGTTTTGTTTTTTAGGACTGGTGTCGAGAGAATTTTGTCAACAGCAGAAATATGAGTCTAGTAAAAGAAGTCCAAGCACAGCTCAAAGAAATTTGCCTTAAGGTAAATAAAAGTAATTGAGTTCAAAGTTTTTGTTTTTGTATTGAGATGCTACTTAGCGGTCTTGTTTGATTTCTAGTTAAATTTGAAGCTGGTTTCCTGTGGGGCAGACACAGGAAGTGTGCGCAGGTGTCTTGCACATGGCATGTTTGTCAACGCAGCAGAGCTTCAGCCGGATGGAACCTACTTGGCATTGGATACCCATCAGCTTGTAGCTATCCATCCGTCTTCAGTCCTGTTCCAGGCAAAGCCAGCCTACGTCGTCTTCAACGAACTGTTGCACACATCCCGTTGCTACATGAGGGACCTGTGTTTGGTGGATGCTGACTGGCTCATGGAGGCAGCGCCTGAATACTTTGCACGTAAACTACATCTTTCAAAAGGTTGACCACAAAAAGTGACACAAGGACATAGACAAATAGTTTTTTGTACAACTAGTAGAGCTGCTTTTCCCCTCTTATAAAGCTGGACTGCAGCAGTCTTTTTATCTTTCCACATTATTCATCTTTAAATACCTTTTGCTGGTCCCCGTCAAAATCTTCATACTTTCAAAGCTGCAATATTTTCATCCTTTTATAGTAAAATTGTTAAATGACTGTAGTAAAACAAAGATGGGTGCACGTCTGAGTTGCATGCTGAAACCAAAAACACATTAACAACACCTGTCGACAACATTCACCTGTTTGACATGTTGGTTTGAAGAAATCACCTGCCTCTTTCTGCAGTCTCCATACTGTACATAACACAGTATTCTTATGGATGCAATGCATGCATATTGTAGTTGATCTTATTAAGGTCACACTCAGGATCGTATATTAGGTATAACACAGCATTTCTATTTTTCAGAGTAAAACATTGAATTGTGGCATTTTTATAAGAAAAAAAAAAGGTTCTAATGTTATCTAAAAGAATGATCAAATGTGATATTTAAGGGTTGAGTGCTTAGAAAATCTCTTTGGCATAGTTAATTCACATACTGAATTTTTTTTTATATTTTTGATCACACAGCTAAGGCTTAAAACGCAAACACAAGCTGTACATTTGTCCATCATGAACCAATAAAAAAATCTTATCTCATCTTTTCAGTCTTTGTTTAATTTCAAACGTCCATGTCCCAGCTGATTTACACAATATATGTTAATTGTACTAGTCGTCCCTGTTCATGAACTACTGGAAACTATTTCTAAAGAAGTAAATTGTAAAGTAATTTTTTTTTGTAAAAAAGGGTAACTGCAATCTGATACTATACATTTGCAAATTAGTGATTATTGCCCAATTGAACCAAAAGCAAAATTGCGTTTTTTATATATTTTTTAATTTCGATGACGCTGTATGTTTTTAACTGTAACCGACGATAGAGGGCGCAAGAGACCAGTGAATATGTATTTAACTTTTTGTAAAATGCATTTTATAAATATCATGTATGTGTCATTAATTGTCATATAGAGTGTGCAGTAAATATTCAATACATGAAAATAATAAATACAAATTGTAATACATGTTGAAATGAGTGTTTCCGGAGCAGAGGTGTCAGATGCGAGAGGTCACCGTGTCCTCCACACGTGTGCTCCGCAGACTGCCATCAGACTGCCATACTCTGAACTGAAGCGGCACAGGCCGGTGTCTCTTTGTATTTGTTCTCTTTTGTAATCCACTGTTTTGTAAAAACATGCTTAAGTCTGTTGTGCGTGTGGTTGGGGCAGCAGTCCGCCTTTCCAATGCGTCAGTCCCTTCCTCGGTTCGGGCTTCGCCTCTATGCCCGGTAGTGCGAGCTCCTAGCTCGGCTACAACTCGGCCCTTCACCCGGTCCCTGTGGATGCTCAACAACAGCGGCGCTTCCTCCGGTTACAGACCCAAACTGTTCAGCTCCAAAGTCCTTAGTCCCTCATTTTCGTGTGGGTGCGGTGGACTTCACACAGAAGGTAAATCTAAAGTTTACACTTTAGCCTGCATCATGGTCTACCCATTTCTTATATCACTTCACCTTGAGCTAATCTTGTCTGGTCATCAAACTAAAATAACAATATGGATGTCTTCAAATGTAAATTGTATGTTTGTTAGATCACTTAGTTCTTCCATATATAGTTAATTGTATGTTTTTTGTGATCAGGAGACAAAGCATTTGGTGACTTTCTCACTGATGAAATCAAAGAGGAGAAGAAGATTCAAAAGACTAAATCCCTTCCAAAGATGTCTGGTGGATGGGAGTTGGAGTTGAATGGCACAGAAGCAAAACTTGCCAAATTTACTTCTGGAGACAAGTAAGGCAGAGTGAGGGATATGATTGGCCGTTCCTGGCATGCCATTAACCGCCATGTGTTTTCCAGAGTCATTGTGACGTTCAATATCAACAACAGCGTCCCCCCTAACTTTGGAGAAGATGTGGAACAGGGACAACAGAAACCAGCTGAGGAAGAGGTAAAACAAAACAAAAAACATAGTATCATAAGAGTTTAATTTTAACTTTTATATTGATGGAAGGAATTGATTTTGAAGGTACATGTTGAAACGTTTCTGATGGAGGCTCTATTTCAAAATGTACCAATACATCTGTACCAAATTAAGATAATGTATGAGCTACCACCGTAGGCAACCACAAATTAAAGATTGCGGTTGATTGTGTAAACGTATTACGCAAGACTTTTTGAGCTTTTATGACCATATTACAACATTGTTCCCCCATCAATATCAGACCAAGAGTTTTTAGATTAATCCATTCTATCAGGAACTTTGGACATAAACTCGTCCTTCCGCCCCTTATGTCTCAATGCTCTCATCTCACACACATTACTCTATGATGAATCCTTAGACCATCCGTAGATCATTTCAGTTCTGTCTCCCAACAGAACTGAAATTGGTTGTGGGCCAAATTAAAAACGTAAGAGCTGATTGGGGCCAAAAGTATAAAAGAATTTTTTTGACAAAATCAATTACGTTTTTATAATATTTTCTGGTAGGTTTGGATTCAATCACAATTATACGGAAGCGTGTTGGGTTCACTTGCGAGTGTTATTTTTTCGCTGGTGTCACGTTATTTCATGATAATATCTTGTTATCTCATGATACAAATTTATTATGAAATGACAAGATACTGTAGATACAGAAGAAGAGGAAGCTGTAGAAGCTAGACCATGTGCCAGGCTCAGTGTTGCGCCAGGAATACGCATTGGTTCAGGCAAAGGACCTGCTTAGCATCTTTCTGCAACAGCGAGTTGTGTCAGACAACTTTGTTGTGGATGCAAGGAAGATCGAGTAAGTAATCAATGTTAAGTTATGAACTGCTATCACCATGTTTACAATATAATATAAATATTATAAATCACAGTGAATTTATGAATTATGGTGATAGCGGTTCATAAATTCACATCATTACTTACTCAATCTTCCTGCATCCGATACCTCTGGCACCCCTCGCTGTCGCAGAAAGGTGCAAAGCCTGGCGTATGTTCTGGCGTCTACAGCTTCTTCTGCATCTACAGTATCTTATTTTATAATAAATTGGTATCATGAAATAACATGATACCAGCAACAACAAAAAACACTCACAAGTGAACCTAACCTGCTTCCGTACAATTGGGCCAAATATGAAGACAAGATGTAATTTAAGACTGACATAAGTAATAAACTAATAAACTGACAAAACCCCTAATGAGTTAAAATTTCGGTTAACATTTCATAACAGATTATATTATATATATTTATATATTATTTATAAATTAAGTTTAACATAGTATCCCATTACCATCAATGCTGCAAGTTACTGTAACAATGAAAATATATTCAGTCCTGATTTGGCCCACGGGCCTGAGTTTGGCACGCCTGCCTTTGACCATTACGTCATGTTTGTTCAGAGCCGTTTTCTGTTTTTAAAAGTATTGCCTCCAATTTTGTTTTAGGGAATTTCTCAATTGAAATTACATATTTTACAACTGTGTTTGCAGCCCATGTTTGTTGTGCGGCGATAAGAACGGCTAAAATAACTTTGTTTAGTTTAAAGGAACAATATGTAAAAATTTGGCCAAAAGTGGTACTGCAGTCACAGTCAATATTTTGTAGTCCTCTCCCACTCTCCCTGACTCAGGTTGCCAGATTCACACCAAATCCAGCAGCAAACACAGGGAATTATTTTATCAGTTGTTTGTCCGTCTCCATTCACATTGCCATGACAGCCGTGCTAATGCTGAATGAATGTTTTGATTCATGTTTTTTATTATTATTTGGACATTTGAGATAAAAAACAAAAACAAAATAAAAGCAATGTAAGTATACATAGTTTATGCAAAATAAATAAGCAATTTATGTCCAAAATAGGAGTGGGAAGAATGGATGTTGGAACGTATTTCTTCAGCGTATCAACATCAGGGTTTGCTCAAGAGGATATCACCTTTCAATTTTATTTATTCCCTATTTTTTAGACAAACATGTAAAAGTCCCACATCAAAAAGAGACTAACATTATTTTAATTGGGGTACATGTGGTCTTAAATGATTATTTTTACAATTAAGCTATAATCTGCAAAAAAACGTCTTGACCTTCGTCTTTTACTGTTTTTAGAGCAATCTGTCATAGAATGTGATAACATGCAATAAATACAAAAAGACATAGCCCGGGATCGAACCCGGGTTCCTGCATCGTAAGCGCACAGTTTTGACCACTAGACCACCGCTTCACACAGTTAAAGTCACTGTGAAGAACGGACTCAAACTAGAAAATTCTGCATCACACGTAAACTTTTATCAGCTGTCTCAATTGTTCAAAGGCGTCCCGATATAAATCCTCGTTTTAGTCTTTGTTTTGTCATTAATGATTTGAGAGTCATAACAAGACCTTTTTTAGTTCTGCGCCACATGTTATTTTACCACTGAGATTAATGAACCGCGCGGAGTTCTGGCAACCCGATCACGGACTTACATGACACTTCCTGATTGGCGAAACGGCGGAGGGTAGGACATCAAAATCAAAACAATAACAACTTTTACGGGTCGTAAAACTAATTTTGATATTCAAATATCTCGGATGAACTACTGTTATCAGTTAAAGATGTGTTTGAAAAGAACATGATTTATTAATGCCTTTTGAAATATTCGGGTCATTTAATGATGACTTGACATGCAAATATTACATATTGCTCCTTTAACTTTTTATTTCAATTGTGCAGATTTTATATATACATTTGCTGTTTTTGTTGTCCTGGACATCTGCATTTTCATGTTAATAAAAATGAAATGTAAATTGATTTTGAATAAGGAGTTTGGAACAGTATACTGAGACATACAGTATATCTGTAATGTTCAACTTTTCACATTCTACAACATGCAAAACTTAATATTTTTAAATATATTTCTTTGAGCTTAAAGTACGGTTTTAACAGTGACTTTTGTATATTGCAGCCTGAAATTGTTTCAACACCAAACTTCATTGTTGAAGTTACCAAACAAGGAGCTAAGCATTCACTGGTGTTCGACTGCAATTTTCCTGAAGATGAGGTAATTTAATGATTGTCATGATTACCATTCTAAAGAGGTCTCTTGCCTTGTGCTTTTAATTGTTTCAAATAAAACGTGCAATAAAAATGTTGAATGTTGCAGATAAGTCACAGTGAAGAGGAAGAGAGTGATATATTTGCCATTCGAGAGGTCAGCTTTCAGCAGGAAGGAGACACGGACTGGAAGGAAACCAGCTACACTCTGAACACTGACTCTCTGGACTGGGTAGGTTTCATTTTCTATTTGAATACTAATCATTATGCGTCACCTTCTTTTATAAATATGTGTGTGTATTTTGATATACAGGCACTTTATGACCACCTAATGGACTTCCTTGCCGACCGTGGAGTTGACAACACATTTGCCGACGAACTGATGGAGCTGAGCACGGCCATCGAGCACCAAGAGTACATCAAATTTCTAGAAGAGCTTCAGAACTTTGTTAAATGTAACTGATGCATTCATTGTATAAATCCATAGTTTGTCTTGTCTACTTGGTGTCCAGAGTTGCACTGAACATGTGAAGTTATTCCTCAGACTCAGAAACGATTGTAATGACTTCACTCAAGACTGCATTGATATAGAAAACTATTTATTACATACAGTTTAATATGTTCAGTATCTGGATCAGGTTGTCAGTGTGTTGATGGGTAGTTTCTCACTCCCAAAGAATAGTTTGGGTCTTGTCACACCCTTGGATCACCTTTTTCGGACAATTCTTCAGCCAATCGCTCCAAAGGGTCAAATGAGGACCAATGGAGCTTACATGTCTTACCAATTCTAAATCAAAGAAGTCGTCTGATTAGTACACACAATTTTACTTTTGCAAGACATTATTGGGACAAAAATGTTAAATACCACAGCTTAAGTTATAGCTGTTAAATTGGTATTACATAATGTTTTTTGCATTTGGCAGCACCCGATATATATAGAATGACATACAGCAGAAGCAGTAGTGGTAGTGCAGTCAGTTGCCAAGATTGCACTACCACAGCAAATGTCCTGCCTCCTGAAATATAGGGAGATTGTTTTTTTATGTGTTCTACAATTAAAACTTTATTTGTTATTTACGACTAACTTACTGTGTTATAAAACTAATCATCCAGTAATTTTATGTTTTTGTAAAGTACAGCCTTCTAATGATCGCATCCTATTAATTATTACCGCCCTCGCTGCTTCAGACAGGACTTTAGCTCTGAGAAGCGCACAGATCGACATTAGTTGCCTTTGCACAACAGGCCCATCACTGAACCGCGTTGGAAAACTTTAAATACACTTTTTGGAAGCATTTTTCTTGCAAATACTAGAGCAGTACACCTGAACGAGCATTGCCAAAGACTATGGCGAGCAGGGACCAAGTTGCGCGTCTGGACTCCTCGGACTCTGACTCGGAGCCGGACAGAGGCGGTGCGGTGCGGGCAGGCTGCAGCGGGCCCTCGGTGTGTTGGCCCCACGCACAGGTCATCCACAGCGGGCACTTCATGGTCTCCTCTCCGCACCGTGACTCGGCAGTGAGCAGGAGGAGGAGCGCGGAGAGGTACGACTTCGACACGGTTACAGGACGCTGGTGCCAGACTTATCACTACGGGCCCCTGAGCAGAGCCAGCCTCAGCATTGACCCCACTCTCACACGGCTGTTCGAGTGCATGTCCCTGGCCTACAGGTGAGTCCTCCTCAGACCATAATTTCACCATGTTCTGCAAAAGTACTTTTTTTTTTTTGCATATGACCTACTTATGTCTGCAACGTCTTGTTTTGTTGGCTTGTCTCTTGCTCAACATGCTGAACTTTGACACAAGCAAAATGTTGAAAGAAAATAAACAATTTTACTTAAGTGGTTGCTTCTTGCATCTATCCACATATACTATAAATCCATCAAACTTGTACACGCTCTCAAAACCGGTTGGTTGTTTTCCCATGCATGCTTTTTTTTGCCTCTTTCACATAACACATTTCATATCAGGCAGAAAAGTTAAAAAGAGGATCACCTTCACTCAGCCAGCTACACAAAATTTATAAATATACAAAATATAACAAGTGTCCTATTAAGATGAAGACAGCATGTTCACAAAATACTACATTTACAAGACATCCTTTTGAACAAAAAATATAAAGTTTTAGTATAATAAACAGTACCCCAGCTCCAAGCTCACATTTAAATTTGCTATTTATTTTCAGAGTGTGTATATATGTAATGTATATGTTGATCAGTATATAGTATGTGTAATGTACTAACCCTGGCATCACATCACTGATCACTATCCGCACAATTGCTATGTGTCTGTGCACAAAAACATTCATTTTCACTATACTATGTCGGAAAACCTGCTAGCTGAAGTACAGATGATGGATGAACAACCTTTCTTTGTTTTTAATTTCACTATACTTCTGTATCTGAAAGCCACTGTCCCATCCCCACTGCTTCTCCTGGTGATTATAAAGAACGTGATGTTACTTTAGTGTAGCTCTTGTTTTCCTCTTAAATGCACAATGTTCTGAAGTCGACACACACACACACACACACACTGTCCTAAAAGCATGTTCAAAAACACCCTCCTGGCTCCATAGCAACTCCATGAGCATCTCACATTAGAAAGCCTTTCTCACCACTCAGACGCCTGAGCGCAAACAACTAAATGAAGTGACCCCTTTTTCTGGCATTATTCAAAAATATAAATTCAAATCTTTGACTAAAGGCCTTAGATTCTGTATGGACACTTTACTGTGTGACCAAGGTACATATGAGTGTATGAATGAATGGACTTTGTTTTCAGTGGAAAAATAGTGTCTCCAAAGTGGAAGTCATTCAAGGGTCTACGGTTGCTGTGGAGGGACAAGATTCGACTGAACAATGCAATATGGCGAGCCTGGTTTATTCAGTGTAAGACAACACATGGTAAACAAACACTACTTGAATGCATTATACTACACAATGCACAATGCACAAATACATACAATAATGATAATAACAATATAAGTACCAGAGAGAACTTTACAATCACCTAAATACATATATACATAAATACATTAACAATATCAATAAATAAAGTGCTTCTAAAATGTTATAAAATAGTTGAATTCATAGATAGACAGAAAATTCAGAAATTCAGATTCAACTAACAAATTCATAAACACAGATTAGAAAAAGCTTCTTTGGGGAAACAATGGGAAAAAATGCCACTTCCTCTCCCTACTCCATGTAGTTGTACAAGAATATATATGTAGTATTTTAACATGCTGGATATTTCTACTGATGCCAATGTTTTGAAAAGAGAACAGAGAGAGAGTGATGGTATACTTTATTGTCTAGTTGGGAAACAATTTTACTGAACGAATGACCAGAATAACAGACAAGCAAATCCAAACTCCATTATTTGCTATCATTCTAAATATTATGCTCCCTACATATTTTTCATGTATCTTTTTTATGAATCGTCATCATGCATTTTACACATAACATCACTTGTATCATGTAATATCCCGTTAACCCGTCCCAGCAGATGTGGAGAAGAGAAAGAACCCGGTTTGTGGCTTTGTCAGTCCATTGGAGGGATCAGAGGCAGAAGCACATCGCAAACCTGAAGTGGGTCGTCTGCATCACAACATTATAACAATAGAACCAGTTATTTTAATTCTGAAAAGGGACTAACTAACTTTCATACAGGCTATAGTCCTGGAGGGCAGCTACTGGAAGCGCCGCATCGAGGTGGTGATCAAAGAGTACCACAAGTGGCGGATTTATTATAAGAAAAGGGTACTCACGCAAAAAATAAATATTTGGTATTTTGTCCCCAATTTTGAGCTGTGATGTTTGTTTCTGTCTTTTGCAGCTTCAGAAAAAGAAGAATGATATTTTCTCAATGTTCCATGAGGTATGACACTCCAAATATCGCACCAATTATTCCGTAGTCAGCAATATACAGTTAGCATGCATATAATTAGACAAGACATAACATACAAATGTAAATAACATACAGATGCAAATCAGATTTATTTTTATTGACATTGTAAGTAACATGAAGTCAGAAAACTAAGAATTTGCTTTGATATATGGCACTAATAAGTTCTAAAAAGTAAAAAACATTTATATAAAGGCAAAAATAAGTTGCAACAAGTATAAAAGTATAATTGACAGAAGTGTAAAGTGATGATTGTAAGTGTCATGTGTAAAATTAGAATATTACTCCTTTATTTCTGTAATTCAACTTCAGATGTGAAACCAATCTTTGACATAGACTCATTAAATGCAAAGTGACATTTGTAAAGCATTAGTTATAATATTGATTATTATGGCTATCAATCCATTTTACATGAGATACTTTCTTACAAGCTATAAGTTAATTATCAACTTTATACCAAATATACAAATATACATAGATAATAGAGATTTGATACAGATTCTTTTTATGCTAGAGCTAGAGATTTTATTTGATCTTATTTTACAATAAGAACTGCTGAGCCTGTAAATTTCATTCATCTGTAATTAAGTAAATTCTTAAATCATGTGCAATGTGCAATACTGCAACTTCAGGATGTCACAGAACAATGTCACTTTACCTGATGTCACTTTACTTATATACTTTTTATCCTGCACTATTTAACTGTACAGTATATAACTGCACTACTACATATATATTTTGACTGGTATTGAAGCATTTTCAGCATCTACAGCTAGTTATGTTAGCTAAGAAACATAGCTACTACTTATTTGTATATATTATGTGTGATCCCTGTGTGCTCTTACTACTGTCCTATATGTGCGATGCAACATCGAAATTTCGCCACTGTGGGACAAATAAAGGAATTCTTATCTTATCTTTAGTATAGAGATATTACTATTTACTATTCATCTTGTGCTGTGTGCTTCTCATTCCTACTTTTCTGTAACCTGAGATGCAAAACTGAAATTTCCCTACTTTGGAACAGAGAACGGATCTCTTAATTTTAATCTTAACACAGTTTGTGGATGGGTCAGGGAAGTGTATGGGGGGGTGTATGAACTGTGTGGTTTGTGGTAATCATACTAATATAAAGCTGCCGCATGTCATTCGGCCTATCTCAGCATTGTTTACTTGGGTGTTACAAACTACTTAGTAAAGCCATCAATATTATCATTAATTGCTCATGTTTAACGTCTCCATTCAGACAGAAAAAACAAAACACAAAACTGCTTGCGTCACAACATGTGTAAGCAACTGACACATATTGATTTCAAAGAACTGACAATGCTTGTAATGTCCCCTCAGCTGTCTGTGTGGATTCTAGTTGAGTAGAGTGAAAAGTTATTGCCATTTAATAAAAGTTGACCTACTTCCCTGCAGTTCTTTGTGAAGGGGAGCAGTGAGTGTGACAGTGACGCCACAGCGGCACAAAGACTCAAAGGGAAGGAAGCACCTCATTCATGTTTGAGCTCAGACCACCGTCAACATGAAATATAATGCTCACGTTATTCCAATCACACGTTTGTTTTTATGTGGGTTTCCCTGTGCTCAATCAGCCTGTGGCGTTGTAAATCTGGTGCAGTATAATTATAGTTTATTTGTTTACTCTTGATAACCCTTTAATTGTTATGGTTGGTAGGTCTTTTAGCTTGGAACTGAATAATACCTCTTTGGAGCATCTGACTTGGTTGTTTAGGCCCTTTTACCATCAAACTGAATTTCAACCATTTGGTAAAGACCTATTATTTAAAAAAAATAAGGATAAAAAAAAAGAGAAAAATGTAAAAACAATGCATTTCTGTTGTTGGTGTTCTACATCTTAGAAAATCCCCCCCAAAAAATACATTTCTTTTTTCAAGGAGTGAATCTTAAAGGGTTAATATTCTCATAAACTGAAAAAACTTCTTCAGCTTTCAATAAAATCTAGTATAGTAGCAATCATCCACTCATAAAACACCAATAAAACAGCTCATAACTTTGTTTAATCTCAAGGAAGCATTTACACAAACCATTTTATCTATCTACTAATGGTTTCCTTTTGTTTGCACCCACTTATTTAATGTTGTTTTAAGGATTGCATTTGTATTGTATCAAAGCTGTAAATAGAGAAGGAGAACCCCTCGTGAATGCGACTAAATCCAATCGGAAGTGCGTTTTATATGCCGTCTTTACATGGCAACATTATTTCTTTGTCTGGATCCTGAGGTTTTCCCATTTATCTACACGTGAGCGTGACAGCTAGAATTAGGTCAGGGACAATAGCTTGCTGCTTTTATTGAAATGGTGAGACATCAAAATAACGAAATGAACAAAGGCAACATAATGACATCTTTTAAGGGCCTAGTGTTTTGGAACAATAGACCCAAAAGTGCTTTTTCATCACAGAGTAGACTGACACATAGACATATTGTAAATGCACACACCAATCTTACCTCATTTTTATCTGCACACTGCATATATTCTAGCTGACAATTTGAGGAATAAACAAATTACAAGAAGGGATGTCGTGTGCTCACACGTAATAAAAACAGTTTACGACTTCACCCGTGTTTCCTATAAATCCTGCCCAAGAGACATAGCTGGCAGACCATAAAATCAGGAGGATGAGGGCAGCGCAAATAGAGAAAGACACTGGTTTTGCTTATTTTTTCATAAATTGTGTTTTTAGTCTATGTGCAGCGCCTGCTCTGAATGTATTATGGAGTTTTCTGAGGGGCATTGACTGTGCATGTGCCTAAAGGTGCTCAAAGTTCTTGTATAGCAGGGTCAGATCTGCCACGGAAAACTGGAGAAATGGACCTATCCGCTGTACCAGGAGCCTGAGGTAGCCCCAGCAGAGGCCCACATGTTCGACCTGGACTGTCTGCTGTCGGACATCTCGGATACGCTCTTCACCATGACGCAGAAGCCCTGTCCCTGGACCAGTGACCGACACAGCGGTGAGTATCAGCCATATCAAGTATCCATGCGCTCAGGAATATGTACATGGTTGCCTTCTGAAACATATGTTTTAATACACTTCTCTCCTTCCCCAGGATACACAAGCAATGCGGATATCATCCAGCCTGGATTAACCCCTCTGCAACCTAATCTGGATGATTTCATGGATATACAAGGTACTGTCTCCACCAATACTTTTAATGTTGTTTCATTTGTTGTTCACATGCATGTCAAGTAGCATGGAGCTTGCTCTGAGAAATTGTGGAGAACTTAAAATCATTATATTGTCTACAGCACTTGGAAACTGACTGTGGAAAAATGAAGATAAACACAGTATAGAGTATATGAAGTACTATTGTATTGCATTTCATTTATCTGACAGTACTGATAATGCATGAGTTTTCTATAGCCTCTTTTGGACACTCAAAGACGCTACACTTCTCACTATTTATATACTCCATACACTGTGGTGGTAAAGTACTACTGTAGCCACAGCTGCCCTGGGGCAGACTGACATAAGTAAGACACTCGTGGTGGGTGAAGTGAATTTCCTAAGGACACAATAAGAGTTTGGTACATTACAGTTACAGTCGCCCCACTGTGGCAAGATCTGACAGGAACAGGCTTTCACATGCAGGTGGCGCCACACTTTCATGTAAACTTGAGCCTTTTCTTAAGAGTCCTGATATTCCCGCTGAATTAATTATTTAATTCTTATAATTTATATGTATTTTGTGGGACCAATGGAGAGGCAGGAAAAACACAAAGGCCTTATAAGGGAAAGGCTTTGTGTACTACAAATAAATGAGGCCAAAATAATCAAATATGAACAGAATATGAAACAACCAAACTTACCTGTCACTAGATCATAATACATCCATGCACTAGACACACAAGGGGAAGATTTAAGATGGCTGATCAGATCAACAGACATCAGGGGGGTGTCAAGAGTACAGAGATACATAAATGAACACCATTATATATATTATAGTATCAGTACACTTGGCTAAATATACCAAATAACATTATCAATAATAATCATACTGGCAACTTATGCATAAACTTAAATTAACCCCAGACCTCCCAAACTTCCCCTCTTCTGGACAACCTCCATGGTTTAGGCCATAGGGTGGAGCCTGGACGGTTAAACCCAAACTGCCAACATCTTTTCTTTATTTATAAACTTCAAAATCATTTAGAACAGTTCATAAAGAACATGTCTGCAGGGTAACAACATTATTATCAATTGAGAATGATGGGAATTTGGTAGAGAAGACTACCTCTCAAGGGCCCTTAAATGGATTGTGCACCTTCTTAATTAGTTTTACCAACATATTGCAGAACTGCAGAGATTTCGATTCCCTGGTACTTAAACTGTTTGACAATGGGAATTCCAGCAGGGAGAGTATACTTCCTCATTCAATAGTAATAAAGCAGAATAATGCCTATTGATCTTGTAACCAGAAGTGCCACTAAAATGAGTTTGTGCCACATAGAGCAGGACGTCAACTGTGGATAAGAAAATGTGATGCTTTGTGTCTTTCATTTGAATTTGAGTGACATAATCAATTAAATGGATAGATTAGGCATTTATAACCAGTAGGTACTATTGCTGATGGACTACTGTATAGCACCTGGGGCATTATGACAGCCGCCCCATGCCCAAACACAGACATTAATAGGTATCACATTTACTGCCACTCCTGAATTGTAAATGAATGTAAATTATTCTTACATCAGCAACTTTATGAATAAGGCACTAACTTTTCCTAACACTGGTATTTTGAGCTAATTGTGGAGCCAGGAGCAGGTTGTGATCAAGTTTCCTTCTCAGTTGCACAGATTAGGCATTTATAACCAGTTGCACAAAGGCGTTAAATCGCTTTTTGTGATTTTTAGTGCAGGATGTGTGGTCACTCGATGTGGTCCCTGTGGTCACTCGATGTGGTCAGTCGTCCGCGCCTCTGTGAATGTGTTTAGTGTGCTGCAGCTGGAGTGGGCTGTCTGCTTGTCTTTTGGTCTCTAGGTTCACAGAGCTGCTGAAAGTCTGTCAGGGAAGGAGAGCCGTGGGTTTAATTTATGCAATATACTTTCTTTATGAAAAGATAGATATCAGCAAGGACAGGCCTTTTAATATCCTCTAAAAAAGCACCAAAATCACATGCAGGTTATGTACTATTGATGTACAACTCTAATCCAGTTTCACAATCGGCCTTGTTTTTGTGTTTAATATGTATGTCTCTTAAAAACCTCCAGGTCTCCACCTTTTCTCTGTTTTGCATGACATTTCTATATAAACTAATTTTCCTATCTGTATGTTTTGTCAGACATCTTTATGAACTACCGGGGCCAGACCTCTGAACAGACAAGTTATACTGACTGTGGTTATTTCGAGAGCTCTCCGGGTGCTGTCTTTGCTTCGGCGCCGTCTCCAGTGGTAACAACTCCTCAGCTGCTTATCGACACCCAGATGCCTCAGGTACTCCTCGAGCTTCAACGCCTCGCAGATTTATAACTGCTGAACGCTTAGTGCTTAAAACAAACTGCGCTATTCCTTTTTCCAGCCCAGTCTTTCATCTGACAGTCGACCCCAACCTTCTTCCTCCAACTCCCGTCCAGAGCTGAGCAGGTCAAGCCAGGACTGTAGCGAATACCCCACACCTGGTATTGTGTCAGGAGCGATTCCGTATCTGCTGCAGACCTACCCGGATCCGTCTGTCTCTGTAGCGCTGACCACCGCCATAGAAGAGCCCTCCACTACGAGCGTTCCAATGCTCTATCCTCTGTCATGTCACAAGTTTGGCTATTATTCACCGAGCAGCATGACCTCCACTGTCATAACTCACATCGGCTCCTCCATGGGGCCTCTCGGTTTGATGCCCCAGCCTCATTCTTATTCTCATACGGGGGATGCGTATTCCCAGAACGCTTGCCACTCTTTGGGTTATCCAGCTGGTGCTGCTGACCCACTCCATGCTGCCCTGCCCTCTGTCACGGTGCCGCACTGCTTCTCGGTGCCGGAACAGTCCTTGACGGGGGGCAGGGGCAAGCACAAGCAGAAGACCGGAGGAGCCACTGGACCCATGTCTGCTGCAAATACACCAACAAGCTGTTTGGCCAAACTGCTATCGTCTGGCTCTCAGGAACGTGAGTTGAAAAGATGCAGTTTATTGGGAAATACTATGTTGCGAGAATGCAATGTCTAACATGCCTTTCATTGCCTTTATAAATCAAGAAAAACTTAATGACCACTTGTCAGAATAGAATCTAAACTAACTTCAAAAATTGTTCTTTTCCTACGCATACATACTTATAATAGCAGCAACGCAAGAGGAGTCCGTGCATACGGTGATCAAAAAAATATAATGTAGGGTAAGCATGATAAGTCAGGTACTGTACTCTTCGAGGATCTGTGGGTAAAAAATGTTGAAAGCAGAGAGGAAAGGCACTCCTTAATAGTGGAAGGGACTTTGCGACGCGTTAAAGGCAATCCGTCTAAACTACTTGATTGGTTGAAGCTCTCATCTCTCAGTTTGCATAGTGCTGCAGTATCCATTACCACTAAACACTAAAAACTCTTCCCCTTTTCGACCAGAGGTAACTAAAAGATATATATATATATATATATATATATATATATATATATATATATATATATATAATATATAAGATAGTGAAATCTCAGATTGATTAAACAAAGGTCAACAAATAAATACGTGTTTTATGATTGAATTGAAGTGAGTCCAGATGCATTAAATTAGTTGTCAAAGCAGTTTTCTTAATTAGATACTTTATTTGTCCCAAAGTGGTATGCACAATACAGTAGAATAACATACAAAATCCCACCTAAAGTAACCAAACCACGCAGCATCATTTTTGTTAGGATTTTAATCAATTGTGTATTTAGGGAAGCCATCTCTAGGATTTGATTCGTTGATTCCAACCAAAGGACAGAGGACATCACCTCCCAGCTCAACAGTCAGTCTGATTAGTTCATTTTTATAACACTTATTATAACACTCACATTTCAATGCATGTGTTTTGTTCTACATTCTCCAGCTGCAATGTGATGGGGCCTGGCATACGGGGATTCCAGTGCTGACACCGCCTCATAACCAGACCGCCAGTTTGGACCAGGGCATGGTTCACGCCGGGACGTCCCGAGGGAACCCAGTGCCTCCCCTCCTCACCCACAACACAACTCACACCAGCACCACACTGCTCATCCCAAAGACCGAGAAACTGTCTCCGGTGCTCGTCTATGGGAGCGACCAGAGCTGCCTTACAGGTCTCATTCATGCGATGGGAAAACACTGATATTGGGGTTTCAACATCAAATTAATACATTTTCTTGATATGTTTTTTTTTTTAACGCAGATCAGTTACTGCCAAATCCTTTAGACAAATTTTCAAACCCTGAATCTCCACAGCCTACATTCCCAGGACTAGGAAAACAGGATTCAAGTAAGGTATGTCCCAGTTTTGTATTACATACACTGCAAAAAGTGATCAATTTTGGTAAAATGTATCTTAAAGGTATAGAGGAGGATTTTCCCAAATTTGAGGAAAGAACCGCCCTCTCCAATTGAACAAAACTCTCTGGTCTTATTTTATGAGCACGTATCACCAGTATGATTGACAATTGGCAGGACCAATAGTCTTTATGATCCATCCGGAAGTAGAAACTCCTCCTATTTACCTTTAACTTGAACACATTTTGACTGCCTTAAAACAAGATTTGCCAATGGGACAAAGCAAAAAGAAATGTCTCCCTTGGAATGAAAAAACTAAAGCAACAGCTGAATGTCTTTGTCCCGTTGGCAAATTTAGTTTTAATCTTTAATCATGTCCATATTTTATCATTTTTTGTAGCGCTCATGTTTGTTTGGTTAAATGATGTCTACTCAGTGCCTGTCTAAACTCTTCAGCACACAGAGAGCAGACGGATCACCCACATCTCTGCAGAACAGAAGAGACGCTTCAACATCCGCCTGGGATTCGACACTTTACACAATCTGGTGACCACGCTCAACTCTCAGCCTAGCATCAAGGTACTACAATACTGCTGCACAAAGGTACTACTACAATACTGCAGCACAAAGGTACTACTACAATACTGCAGCACAAAGGTACTCACTGCAATACTGCAGCACAAAGGTACTACTACAATACTGCAGCACAAAGGTACTCACTGCAATACTGCAGCACAAAGGTACTACTACAATACTGCAGCACAAAGGTACTACTACAATACTGCAGCACAAAGGTACTCACTGCAATACTGCAGCACAAAGGTACTACTACAATACTGCAGCACAAAGGTACTCACTGCAATACTGCAGCACAAAGGTACTACTACAATACTGCTGCACAAAGGTACTACTACAATACTGCACCACAAAGGTACTACTACACTACTGCAGCACAAAGGTACTACTACAATACTGCAGCACAAAGGTACTACTACACTACTGCAGCACAAAGGTACTTACTACATTACTGCAGAAACCTACAATGCTATAACATTGGGTTATATTAGGTCCTGTATATTATAGATCAGATATTGCAACTTTTATTTCTGCTTACTCATGCAACTCATGCAACTCTGGCACAGATCAGCAAAGCCACCACCCTCCAGAAAACTGCAGAGTACATCAGTAAGATGCAGCAGGATCGCACTCAGCTCCACGAAGAGGCTCAAAGACTCCGAGAGGAGATACAGCTCCTAAACTCCTCCATCAAGTCAGCATCTGTTCATTAGGAAATGATTGGTCACAAAAACATGTTCCTTGTTTACTTTGATGTGATGTGATCTGCAGTGCTTGTCAGCAGCAGCTCCCTGCGACTGGTGTTCCCATCACTCGCCAACGCTTCGACCACATGAGACAGAAGTTCAGAGAATATGTTCGGACACAGACCCTGCAGAACTGGAAGTTCTGGATAGTATCCTTTTTCATCAAATAACCAACAGGAAGCAAACTAACTAAATAGCTAAATAGTTCAGGATCCTAACAGCTGTACAGTGTAGATCAGTGGTTACACTTGTGTTGTTTTATGTGTTATGTGTTGTTTTCGGGGACCGTCTATAAGCTAATGCAGCTCCCTGGGAGTTTCCCCAAAACACCAACCAACACTACATTGTAAAAGTGTATAACCAATATGGCTACGAGTTTTGTAAATACAATAATTGAATTGAATTGAAGCAAACCTGGCCCGCGGGCCAGATGTGGACCTGTGAACATTGCTATCAGGCCCCTGAGCCCTCCTTATTTGTATAGGTGCAGTATAGTATAAAGACTATACAATCCCTCTGTGCTGCTTGCAGAACTCTGGCGACACAGTCGAGCTTCTTGCTCTGCCGTGATATCTGATATAGTGTTATTTCATGTACAAAATAAAGCCAGAATTTAAATGAACCAAAACATTGGTCGGGCCCCCATAAGGCTGTGGAAAAGAACACAGCCTGATGGGCTTTTTTCATGATGAAACACACTTCTTCTTGTAGATGTGCTGGGAAAAATGCAGCTTTTCTGTTAAATCAAGCAGAGGAAATAAAAGTATGTTGCAGATGCAAGCAGTTTTAAAATATGCAAATGTATTCCAAAATACTTTCCTGTAATGACCACCTCCCCCTTAGCTGCAAAGAGATAAGAAGATTAAATCAACTTTTTTATCTTTGGTGTGCGCAAAAACACCCCAAAGCTTGCTTTATGAATATTCAGTTCTTGTTTATGGTTTCTTTAGGCCAAAGGCATAGATCAAACAGCAATTTAGAACTATGACTGTGTCTGACTGGGTTTGCATAAAGCACATTGTTGCATATGGATGTATTAGTTTATATCATGTGCTATCTGTCTATTCTCCCTGACACAGCCTCAGTTCAGTATTATTATTGAGCCTCTTTTTGAGTCCTACAACGGGATGGTTTCTACTGCTAGTGTTGAGGACTTGTGTCGCTCCACTCTGTCATGGTTGGATCAGCACTGCTCTCTTCCTGCTCTCAGACCCAGTAAGCTCATCTTTAACTACCCACGTTTCCCATATAGCATATTTGACCTCTATGCTAATATTATTGTTTTGTTTCTTAGTGATTCTAAGCTCTCTTCGCCTCTTGAGCACGACCACAGCTATCCTAACAGACCCCAGCCTCCTTCCTGAGCAGGCCACAATCGCTGTCACGCAAGGTCCCACAGCTGCTTTGGACCACTCCTTACAACCTGCCCCTCAGTAGAACTGACAGACTGTAGCAGTGTGTACCGGGGGCATTGTGCTGTGCTTTGGATAGAGGCTTAATCAATGTTTCACTCCACTAAACGAGAGACTTATGTATTTTCTAAAGTTTTACATGGGCTATTTTTATGTGCATTATTTTTATGTTTTGTGTTTACATCAAAAATATTAAAAACATTTTCATTCTTTGATGTGTGATTTATACTCTGTCTAACACGGCAGGACACTGCATTCACATAGCAAACATTTTAAACAGCGTCTTTATCTTGATTTGAAGTCACATCAACGTCAACGTGTTTTGACTGTTTTAGACTCCATCATCCCTGATGAAGACTTTGAACAGTCTAATCTGTTTATGTGAATCAAAATAAATGTTTCAGCCCAATGGTTTTGATGATGGTTTAATACATTTTTAACCATTTCTGAGCCATCAAATATGCTATATTCTTTAACCTAGCACCTTTATCTTGTTGAATTAAAGTCTAAACTGGACAAAATATGATAAGCTACATGTGTAAAAAGTACATGCATTTTTTACATGAAAATAAACAGAACATACAATATGTAAAGAGAAGAGACAAATGTAACTTGTATGAACTGTGTTGTACAAATGCTTGCTTTGTCTTGCCAAACAGACAAAACCGGTGGGCTACTTGTTACATGTCCTTCCACGAAGCCAATTGGAAATGTTTCTTAAAAGTATTGGGTTCCAGACAATAAGGTTTTGTGATGTTATTACAAAATGTTTCTACCACAGTAGGCTGTAGCATAATAGTCTCTAAAAAAAATATTGCTTTAATGATTAGACATACAAATCATAAACACAAACTCCAACACGTCCATAAACAAAAAACCAAAACAATGCGCTCTCCCACTATCCCCACAAGATGTCGCTGTTGCTGGTGCGAACTCCGGCCTACAGAGGGCGCTAGTCGTGGCGCAGGGGGAGAGGAGGGCGCAGCTGAAGCTTTGTGTTCCCTGCTCGTGTGTGTGAGAGAGAGCTGTCCACTTCAGCACCACCGCCTCAGCACTGCTCCTCTCCTCTCTCTGCTCCTCCTGGTCTCCTCTCCGCTCCTCTGAACCTGCATCAGCACCAGCCTGCCCCAGACCGCGCTCCACACACACACGGACCTCCACCTCCCGTACTTCTGCAAGAGGTAAGAGCTAAAAACAGTCACGTTATTAAAGGCTACATGCTCCTCTCTCCTTCCTGCTTCATTAATGCTGGATGAGCAGATTAAGGCGGTGTAAACTGTGGCCTTTATCGTATTTTTTGTGTGTCCCAGTTCTCTGCGCGCTGTTGTTTATTGTTATGGAAAAGCCGAAATGTTTGCTGGTCGCTTTGCAGATGGAGCCGAGGATGCGAGAGGAGCTCTAGTGTTACACCGGGGCCAGCTGCTGCTTTCAGGCTGTGTCCTCTGCTGAGTGAGATCACATATCAGCCGCACGCTTACGGCTTTACTCCCCCTTTGTGTTGCAAACGCATGCTGTTCAAACCTACCAACACTATTTTAACAAGAGACAAATGTGAAAGGATAGAGCCACACTCGCGAGTAATAGCCTTGTGGTTATTCTGAAAGTTCAATTGTTTATTCTGGGATGCTCTCGCTGTTTAAGTTTGTGTTATAATAACTTGGATGTATGATTCAAATTGCTATATGTGATATTTTTATTTTTGTTTTATTCTTGCCTGAAATATGTGTCATGGTAATTATCATATTTGTTCAGTCCTTCATTTTTGTTTATCTTTTGATTTATCTTTTGCTATTTAAGCCAGTGTATCTCCCTATCCTTCATCCTGCTTATTCTCAAAACATGAGAGCATACATTATTATCTCTCAAAGACGAACTGGCTTTTAAAATATTGACACCTTTGTTTACATCATATTACATCTTAGTGTTGCTTCATCCCATATCTCACTGCATTCGACAACTTCTGTTTTGACATCCTAAACTGGTGTTTTTCTATTTAATTAGTATTTTTTTCTTTCCTTTTTTGACCACCATCGTTGTTTCCGACAAGCGAAATTGTGTGTTTTCTCTGGACCTTATCTCTGGCTCCACACGAATCAGTAATCAGTTCATGGCATGCGGCTGAAGGAGTCTGCAGGAGAGATTGTGTATGTGTGTGTGTGTATATATGTAAGCTTGTAATTGTGTCTGCTTCAGCCAAGTCAAATACTCCAGAATACTGTGTCCCAGGTTGTGTCATGTAGACGCGATGCAGACAGGTGAGGTAAGAGGCTGATGGGAGGATTAGTGTGCATTAGACGCAGCCTTCTCTCCGGACTGTGGCCGCTCTATCTTGTATCGTTCTCCACAGGCTGTCTCTGCAAAGTGCCCATCCTCAAACAGATTCAGATTCACATTCATTTTATTTGCCATTTGCAGTAAAACCACACTGGAATACGTTGGCAAAAGTCCCCAGTGTGCACCAGACACAAGTGAAATAACATAAAAACTGCAGGAAACAAGTGTCACCGTGCAATCAATAAAAATAAAAATAAAAGTTTCAATACAGACAAGACCTTTTTCAGTATGTTATTCCATAAAATAAAGTGGGCATTAGACGTAGAGTTTAGGGCTGCAATAATGTATCTACGTATACGTTATGATCAAATGTTTATATTTGTCAACTGGACAAAACAGACTTATTATCACAAACACAGCATCATTATACAAAACATTTTCATTCATTTAACATTTGCTTTAGGTTTAAAAAAAAAACAAAAAAAACCAAACAAAGAAACAGTCAAAAAACCCTTCATATAAAACACAAATAATTGTCCAATTTCTAATCTTAAAAACACACACATTTCTTTCGATTATACCACATTTTCCTTTAAAATGGTCCATATATAGAGCATCATCTCCCCCTCCTTCGCACTCACTTCTAATCCCACTGACAAACTCTGTCCTATTTCCCTCACTCCTCAAGGACACTTAACGGACGGCTCGACAAAACGGTGACAGCTAAAGTTGTCCTCGATGTTGGACACGATAGTTATTCCTGCTTGCGGTGTGGTCTCGTATTATTCATTTTGGAAATCTTGCAGCAAATCCACGCTCTGTCGAGGCTCAGCAGGGCGCCGATGCTTATTCAGAGTAAACCACACCAGCCCTCGACAAGAGAGCAGAAAGTGAAAGTCTCCTTGAAAAAACACTCCACATTTTGGACTCTGAGAGCTGCCGGGCTGAGTGCGGCCTCTGCAGGTGGTCGTCCCTATATGTTTTATTTAAAAGCTTTGTCAGTTGTCAATTCTGTCTGCACTTCAGATTCAGAAGCTTTCAGTCTGTGTTTATGTCTTCTGCACCGTCATTGGAGTCGAGGGAGAGTCTGTGACAGTCACTTTATTTGAGATGATATATCCCCAACTCCAACAAACTACTTTTAAAACATATCCTCAGATATGTGAAGGAGCAGCAGTGTCGCAGTTACAGAAGTCAACATTATGATAGTTGTGACAGGTCTTTGGTCTTACAGATGTCACTTTAGTGTTTCCTTTGAGTAAATGCGAGACCTAGTTTTGAATAATTGCAGCGTGACACTCTCTCTTGCTTCAGCCTCAAGAATTAACTTATCTGTTCAAAACACATTTGACTTGATAGTGAGTGATTTAAAGGTGCCATATTTTGATTTTCTTCATTTTTCATATCCACATCCTATGCACGTGTGTTACTAATTTGGGTGATACATCATACAACACTCAAAACGTGAGCATTTTTAAATAATTTTGTGAGTGCCTGAATATTTCTCTACTTTTTGGCTGTGGATATCTGCAGTGTCCTGTCTCCACTGTTTTAAACATCAGATTTTACTTGAAAAACAGGACATAAGTGTGCGGCGTCACACAAAGTTCCATTTGTCAGATAAAGTATCCTTAAATAGCAGCATAAAATCACTGTAGTATCGAATGGTCAAGTCTAATCATTTGGACAGAAATCCAGTTTGAAATGTTATCACCATGACAACCGTGTCTATATGTGTCTACTGTATAGACTTGATGTTAAATTGATAGTATGTAACTCTAAATGAATTACAAATTTTAAGAATTGTATTAAATTGACCTCCTGGCCTTAAATTTTGATAAAAAATAAGTCATTTTATGAATTCTAATATTATGGGCAAGTCCCGCCTTCCCTTCTCTTAGCTATAGGTCAGAATCCACGATGCCGTCCACGTTAACCAACCAAGTGATGCCAAGGGCTGTCAATCATTGGCGCTGATGCTCACGCTTGTTTTCACGGAGCCTCCGAATCAAGCCTCCATTAGGCTCTGGAACAACATGAAAACTTAGACAAAGAATTCTGAACATCTGCGCTGAGTTATCCATTTATATACTGAACCTATATCCATAATCAGATCCTCTGCAGATGTATTCAATCAATGAAAATAGCTACTTCCGGGTTTGCCGCAATTGCTTTTTTTGTGCATTAAAACATTATTTTTTTCATGAAAACGTTAACAAATAATTCTGAAAACCTCCGTGCACGTGTATTAATAATGTATATGTGTTCTCTGATTAACATTTAAATGTGTTACGGAAACGTAGGCGTAGACCAATCAAAAAGGAAGGGGAGGGAGCTTGCGTTGTTTTGTTTAAAATCAAGTACCTCGTTTTCTTCATTTCTGACAAACTGCAGACAATCACTTTAAAAGTACAGGTGTGATAATCGTCTTTTTAATTTTGAGCCAAACGGTTAGAATAATCGATCAGTCCAAGTGAACACATAATGGCTCACCTTTTAAGCACGTGAGTAAAACTATAGCTGTGAACCTCTGCCTTATTCTCTCCCCTCTGTTTAGCCTTATGATTGATGGCTCTGATGATAACGACGAGCTAAACGATCGCTCGCAGATGGGTGAACAAAGCAAACAAGTCTGTCATTACAGAAATCAACAAGAAACTCTGCAGCTTCCTTGTTTTTGCTCTCAAACAGAACCACATCTGTAGATTCAGCAGCTGTGTGCGTTTATGGTGCGTCTTAATTAAATGTTGT